ATTAAGCTGATCCCACCGGAATCGGAAGTTTCCCGTCAGCCTGCGTGTGCCTGTCTGACCGTGCCTCTCAGGGAGGTAACGGGGTCGACACTGTCAAAGACACAGCTCCTTCGAGTCGAGACAGTCTCGTTCCCAAAGCCAACTTCTCCAGCTAGGGAAGCACCTGGGTTTCCGTGTAGCTCTACAGAAAAGAGCTGAGGTGTCAGCTTACATGGTTGGTGTGGACTGGGCCCCAAGCCTCCCGGGGTCAAGGGGTGAAGGGGCAACAGGCATCCATCGCAGCGACTCCCCAAAGCCAGCCCTTGGGTCCGTGTGTGTCAGGGTCAAGGGAGCCGCTGGCATTTTCTCCCTCCCTTATCAGCTCTGGCTCCGGGCCCGGCGAAGTGGGGGAGAGGACCATGAGAAGTTGCGAAGTTGGGTCCATGACCACGGTGGGTGCACGGGACTGGTTCACGTCCTCACACTAAAGTGGTCTTAGTCCAGTGGTCTGCGAATACAGTTCGAGGAGCAGAGTGGTGAGGAGCCCCGATTTGGCAGTCAGACCATGCTGAGTCACGCGTTACTACTACCCTGTCACGCGTTACTGAGACCCCAAGTCCACGCCGGTGGCGTCCTGGACTGTCTTCGCTGAGCCCTGGCTTCCCGATCTGTGAAATGGGGTAACTTACCTACCTCCCACGCCGGCGTCAAGGGCTGAGTGAGACGGTACACAGCACGCACTCGGCACTGTCACTGCAGTCTGGCAAGTGGTGCGGAATTCAAGAAGCGGGCGCAGCCCTGGGGTCCCATTACGTCAAGCCGGGACAGGACTTGTTTCCACCTCCGATTCTCAGCAGGTGCAAGATGCTTGCCTCTGTCAGCTTTGGGTCCTACCAAACAAACCAGGGGTTTTGGGCCCGCCCCTCTGGATTGCCTACCCGGGGTGACCAGCCCTGGAAAAGCGGTCTCTCACGGGAACGTTCCTCCAGGTTTTTCCTAGTCTGCTGGGGTTCAGCCCAGCGACCCATCATCCAATCAGGGTTCTTCGGCGTCAGTCACCTCTCTTCCCACAGGAACGTCATCTCAGAAGATGGACGGAGCACTGGTTTCAGGAGCTCCCCAAAAAGGCAGCTCTGTCTGACAGCCAGCTAACCAAGAAGATGGTAGGGCTTGGGGTGGGTTATCTTTTTCAAGGTCATTCTGGTTCTCAGAAGCAGACACATTTACGACGGTGAGGGGCAGAGGGGCTTGGGGGGGGTGGGAGAAAACGCAGCACACGGGGAGAAAAGCACAGGAGAGAGCTTTATAGAGTTACTCTCTGGCTCAGGAGAGCCAGGAATCTCGCCAAAGAGAAAGTGTAGTATTGGCAGCAACTGAAAGACCCTGTGTGGACTTTTAGGAAAGATTTTGGGCCACAGCACGAGGCCTCCTTCTTCGGGGCCAGGACAGTGCTGGCAGCAGCCCCCAGCCCCCGCATGTTCCCACATAATTGAAGTCGAATGTGCCGGGGGGCAGGGAGGGAGGGTGGCCGGAGGAGGCCTCTGGGTTCTTCCTGGCTGCAGAGTCGCAACGTTCTGCAGTTGGCCCCGCTTGGGATCCAAGCCAGTCAGTGTTGATTTTCCGCAGCATGGAAACAAATGCCGTGGAGCTGTTTTCCTGAGGCACGCATTTTGAAAAGAGGATTTTCACTCCTCCCCCCCACGTCCCCACCAAGGACAGGTGGAGTGGGGAAGCAGGGGAGCTGTGTGACGTGGCCCTTCCATTGCTGTCCCTTTTGCAAACCCTTTCCGGCTCATAGTTTCCACGTAAGCATAATCAGTTAGAGCGTGTGAGTGGGCAAAGCTACGGCTGAAAGCTAAGTCTTTCACAAAAGATAATTCCTGGAAAAGGCTGCCGGAGGACCCTCTGGCTATGTGCGATAAATCACAATTCGCTCGCTTTCCGCTGGAAGGTTTCCAAGACAGCAACTCTCCTCACTCCTCCTAAAATTTTCCACTTACTCTTCTTCACTTCCAGGTTTTTCTCTGTGATCTGTTCTTCTGCCAAGAAATTAGTTTGTGTTTCTTCTTCTCGGTTAGCACCCCAAGTCTTTGGGTGCTAACATTATGCTAATGAGGTAAAGTGATACGGGCAAATTTCTCAAGTGGAGGAAACACCTCCTTCTTTCAACGGCACTGGACTTCTCCAAGCCCTCCTCCGGGGAAGGTCTGAACGCGTGGCCCACGGATTGCGTGCTGACAATCAGGAGTCGCTACAGCTGCAGGGGTCTCAGTGGGCTCTTGCTTTTTTTAGTGTTTTTATTTTTTAATTGGATTTTTAAAACTCTTCAACTGAGGATACGATTATTGATTTTAGAGAGAAGGGAAAAGAGGGAGAGAAACATCGATGTGAGACAGAAACATGGACCAGTTGCCTCTCATAGGCACCCGACCAGGGACCGAACCCACAATCTAGGCATATGCCCTGACTAGGAATCGAACCTGCAACTTTTTGATTTCTGGGACTGTGCTCCAAACAACTGGGCCACTCTAGCCAGGGGTGGCTTGTCCTTTTTATTGATTTGTTATTTTAGATTTCATTTATTTTTAGAGAGAGGGGAAGAGAGGGAGAGAAACATCAATCAGTTGCCTCTTGAGCGCCCCCGGCAGGGGACCTGGACCGCAGCCCAGACAGGCACACGGAAGATTCGAACCAATGACCTTGTGTTTGCAGGACAGCTCCCAATCTACTCAGCCACACCAGTCAGTGCTGCCTCTTGCTTTTTAAACGAGAAAAAGCACATGATTTGCTCTGAGGCCTGCTGCTTCTTCCAACCAAAGATGGCAAAAGACACGGAGGCCAAGTGAAAACCGTTTTTCCTATTCAACATCTATGCCCAGGGCTCCAGGCTTATCTTCTGAGCAAAATGGCACCATGCGTCACACCATGCGGCTAGGGTAGATTCACCCTGCGCATCGCAAACTTTCACGTTCCAAGACCTTGCAGGTGATTTCACTCTTTAATTTGACTCCACCCCCTGGACAGACCTCTCTGCATTTATTCGGAGAGGCTGCCTCTGAAAGGAGTCTCAGGTCTGGGGATTTAGAACATGCTCTGAAAAGCAGCGAAGCGGCTTTACTTCACTTGGTGTGCTCGGTAATCAGCCTCGGAGGAGCGAATGTTATCTGCACCGGCACAGCCCCGTGCCAAGTCCCAAGCCGCATTTTCCAGATCGTTCCAGTGAGAAGTCTCTGACCCGAAGCAATTCGACATTAGGCCCCGAAGACCACAATCATCTTATAAAGAACAACAGATTGTTCGTCTCTTCCTGGCCCTCTTCAAAGCAGCAAGAATGCAAACCCCCCTTTCATGCTCTCCTAAGCATCCAGAATTACAGCAAGGAACTGCTCCAAAAGTCTACTAGCGAAAATGATTCTGAAATCTTTTGGCTTCTGGAGATAGTTTTCAAAATTAATGTTTGATAGAACCCATTATCGAAAAGAGTGAGCATTCCCAGGTGAGCGTGAGAGTTTCTGGGATGCAAAGTAAGGGTTTCCATTAACTTTAAAAAAATGAAAAGAGCATGTAAAGGAACAGATTATGACGGTAATCAGGAGAAATAGGCCACCACCTCTCCCTACCCCCCATAAAGAGTAAAAAAATAAAAGAAGCCTTATGTAACTTCCCTGAAGTCCCCTAATGCACAAATCCAAAGAATGTCTTTTCATTTGCTCCAAGCTGACCGCAGTGCAGCGTTTGGGGGGAAAATCAACTTCTAGGGACACACTTGGCTTTGACTCGTAAGTAAAACTCGGGGTTCCTGAGGGGAAAAGATTCTATTACCCTTCACTCTTCCCTGTCATTTAAAAACTTACCTTTAAAAGCTCCATCTCTTGGTGAGGTCACTATGTAGATACCCTAGGATTCCCATTTCAGAAATTTCTGCAGGCAAAAATGAAGTCTGGCTGGTGGTGAAGGCATGCCAGGGAACACTCCACTTGGGGGCCCCCTGAACTCGCCGAAGGTGATGTCTTGGAGTGGTTTAGTTGTCCCTTGGCGCCATTAAGGAGTAGGAGTCAGGGCTCGAGACTCCTGAAAAATTTCCGTCCTGCTGCCAAGAACTACCCCAGCAGAAGCACCACAATTAATTCAGTTTTATCTTGGAGAAAACGAAACAGCTTTCCTCAAATGTTGTGACTTTGTTTTTTTTTTAAAGATTTTATTTATTTTTAGAGTGGGAAGGGAGGGGATAGAGAGAGAGAAACATCAATGTGCTGTTGCTGGGGGTTATGGCCTGGAACCCAGGCATGTACCCTGGCTGGGAATCGAACCTGCGACACTTTGGTTCGCAGCCCGCGCTCAATCCACTGAGCTACGCCAGGCAGGGCTAATGACTTTCTGTTTTTGGATGAGCCCATGGACTTCATCCCACGAGCCAGGATTTGTCACCAGCCTGAGCAATGCAGCACCAGGCATGGCGGCCAAATCTTCAGGGTAGTATTTGTGGTTTGTGGATTCCGACTGCACTAGGAGAGGGGTTTCCAAGTGATGACAAAAGGTGGTTCATTGGTGATCTGACAATTTCCTACACTCAGCTGGCTGGCTATTTAAGAGTTTCTCAGCCCCTTTGAGGAGGACAGTTTCACTGCACGAGCAAGGAGAAGGTGGTTGCTTCAACGTTTTATCTTAGTGTATCCTAACAAGTCACATTTGTGCCGGTTTCCAAAAATAAATCTCAGTATGGTGACGGGTCTGGAAAAAAGTCTTAGGTGTATAAATTCATTGCTTTTAGTGCAAGAGTTGTGCCTGGGTCTTCTATCCCAAGCCTCCAAATTAAAATAATTTCTCCTCATCTGTATCTGTTCAGGTTCTTATTATTAATTAGGGAAGTTGGAGCAAAGGGGCAGAAAGATGAAACTAACCTAGCTGCTCACTACAATGTTGCAAGGTTGAGACCAAGGCCACTGACACTTCCTCAGATTATTTAGATACAAGCTCCCAAGCAAATGTCAATCAGAGAGACACAAATTTCACATGCAGAATCATTTCAAAGTTTGGTTACTTTAATGCAATTTCACTGTTCAAGGTAGCATGGATATGTTACGTGGTTCATTTCCATCCTGAAAAAAAAAAAACACAAAACACTAACAGCTTCTATCTTATGTAATTTTGTCAAATTCAAACATAACCCTTTAACTGGTTTTTAAAAAACATTTCCTTTACATATCTTACGATTTTTATTTTCTGCAACATTTTTTAGAAACCTTCAAGTAGCTTGGAAACATTTGCCTATTTGCTCAATCCTCTGGGTACGGCCTTTGAGAACACTTGTCCCGCCCGCACAGAAAATCCACTTCTCCCGGCTGGTGGTGGAGCCGCTGGATGGAGGTGATCACAGAGCAATGAGGAGGCAGCAAGCTCTGTGAACTACTTCTAATTCTCTTCATTAGTATGCTCTGATCCACCCCAGCTTCTGCAAGGTCAGACACGCAAGACAAGTACTCGGCCAAAAAAGCAGGATTCTAACTAGTGTAAAAATAGATTTTAAATAAAATAGAATCTTTATAGGAAAGAGAATCAGGTTATGCTTTACATTCCCACTCTTGTTCTAAGATATCTGTGGTATCTGGTGAGTCCGAGGGGGACTCACAGTTGGTCTGCCCTACGCAAAACTCGACAGTGTCTAAGTACATTCATTTTGCACAGTTACAGGTAAGGTCCTGTGGGAAATGCTGTGCAGCACCTCCCACAACAATGGGTGGTGATTAGAGATATGGTTGGTGTGCTAACAAGTAACTTGTAAGACATTTATGTCAAAGGGGATGAGGCCTAACCACAGGCTAAAAAATTCTGAAATGTGGTAATTTGAGCTTTGGCTAATTATAAAGCAGAAAACAAACTCATCATTTAGCAGTTTGTCTTGTTAACCTATTCAGCTTACCTCTTTTGGAAGCTAAGTTCCAATGGCTCTACTTTAATTTTGTTCACTATGGCGTATCATGAATTGTTTGACATCTGTGTTTCTAGAGAAGTACACAGCCCCTCTTGTTGGCCCATAAGCATTACATGACTGTTTTAAAGGGGGCTCTGATAAAATTCTTATTTTCGGATTTAGAAACAGCCTTTGGTTATAGCTTGAAAGCATAATTGAAAATCTGCCCAAGCTCCCTCTAGCCGCAATCTGAAAATGCAGCTCAATCTTTTGTAAACATTCAAAAAATACTGATCCCAGCAAAATACACAATCAGCTACTCTTGAGGCCTCACTCTACATTTTCGAATGGATGATAAATCTGCCTGCTCATTCTTGCTAGATGCTAGGAAGTTCACTCTGAGATGTGAGCCACCATTAGGCCTCCTCCTTAGTTGAGAGGTTCGTAGGGAGGGGCAGAGTCATCAAAAATAAACAAAATGGAAACACCACCATTTTTCCTACACTGGGTCCACTCAGTCTGCCCCGGGTTGTTTGTTTTTCCTGGCTAGCCCCAGAGCAAGAAGATATGGCTGCTGGAGACAAGCCAGTGCCTGCTTCATAGGCCCAGCCTCTTTTCATATAACATTCAACCAGTCCTTCAGTTCCCCAGAGGCAGGGAGGGATGACAATGAAATGAGACTAATGCTCGGGAAGTTTCATAAATCCTCAGTAGCCAGTGTGAACCTCTCTCTAAGGCAGCTGCAATGACCTCAGGGAGGTCTGATGCTTTAGAAATAGGTAATGTTACCTACTGACCCCAGGAGTGAACGTCAAAAACACCAACTCAATAAATACAACAGAAAAATGCACAACAAATCTGGGTCACCTATCAAGTAGGAAGGCAAAATGGTCATTAGAACGTTGAGGTTAGTGAACTAAGGTTGGAAAAAGCAGCCACCTTTTAAAACACTGCCCTTTTCCATCAGTCCTCCTGGTCGTCAGCCCTCTGCGTTCATTACATCAAACACTAGCAAATGAAAGATCCAAACAACTGCAGCTTGATCCTCCCTGGTACTTATTTCGGGCCCACCCTCACACTCAGGCCCCAGCACACCCTCTCTGTGCCAGGGAAAAGAGTCCCAGGGACACCTGTTTCTGTGAAGGTCACTTGCCCCTCTTGCTGCGGCCCTTCCTGGAGGGCAGCTTCCCGCTGCCACCAGAAGAGGCGGGGCTCGAGGCTGAGGCCACAGCGATGTTGATCTGCCCCTCCTGGATTTCCTGCCGGGTCTCAGCAGGCAGGTGGTTGATCTTCTGCTGCGCCTCCAGGTAGAACATGACGTCACGCAGCTGTTCCTGGATCTCAGTGATCTGCAGATCCTTCTGGTCACAGGTCTCCTTCAAAACCCTCTCCTCCTCCTTCAGCTTGTTCTGCAGGAGGACCTGATTGGCTCGCAAACACTTGTTCATCTCCTGCTCCTCTTTGAGCTCTGTGGTGAGTTTGGCTACTTTTGTGTTGAGCTGAGTGCACCTTTTGCAAAACAAAGGAAGACAAAAGCACACTTTTCATTTGCTGACACAGACCCCTTTCTGCTCTGGGATTGAACGGAGGAGCCATGATCTCAGAATCTACTTAGGGTGGACTCCTCCCTCCCTGTTCGGGCAGACTGGTTTGCCGCCATTGCAACAGCTACACAAAGCAAGAATTTTGCTCCAGCTAACCCAAGCATAGCGTCAAGACAATTTTTCTTTTTTAAGCACAGAAATTTCTTCATGGCAAAAACTATTCTGTGATTCATGGTAAAACTTCTGCTCCTCTGTTTTGCAGTCAATGGTTAAATAGGTGGCTTTAGAGAGGATAGCGATGCTAAAGAAGTGATGAGGAAAAGGGTTCTTCTCGGAGAGTCAAGTAACCTGGCCTCACTGCATTTACGGAAGAAGGGTTTTCAAGAACAGGGAGCGCCCTTATTCTTGATGCCCAATCTTATGTGTAAGCAAAGAATCACAAATTTAGACATCATTTTTATGCATCAGAATGCCAAAGAGCCCTGGCTGGTGTGGCTCAGTGGACGGAGCGCCAGCCTGTGAACCAAAGGGTCACCGGTTCAATTTCCAGTCAGGGCGAACATCTGGGTTGCAGGCCAGGTCCCCAGTAGGGGGTGCACAAGAGGCAACCACATGTTGATGTCTGTCTCTCTCTCTCTCCTCCCCTTCTCCTCTCTCTGAAAATAAATAAAATCTTAAAAAAAAAAAAAAGAACGCCGAAGAGCTCACGCCCGGGAAGAGGCACTCCCACACACGGCACCCGAGCGGGGACTGGTACAGACTCTGGAGGTCCACTTGGAGATCACTGGAAAGCCATAATCTCACATGCCCTTTGACATGGCTGCTCTACCGCCAGGAACACCCTACAACATACACTCAGGACTGCGCTGAACATCTCTCTTCTCACCCACGGGGAAAGATGTTCACTGCAACACTGCTGACGGTAGCGTTAGACCTGAGACAGCTTAAATGTCCATCAACAGGAGCTGCCTGAAATTATCGTGGTACCTCCACACCACGGAGTACTACGCAGCCATTATGAAGCTCAAGATAGAGCTACATGTGTCAACGTAAAAAATAAATCTCCAGAACAGAGTATTTAACAAAATAGAGTATCTAATATTGTTCTAATTTTGTAGAAACAAGTATTACGTGTGTGAGATGTTTATATAGGAAGAGCAAAAGATCTGTAAGAATCAATACTCACTGGCACCATCAATAATGGTAACCGCTAGTTGTCAGGATCTAGGAAAACTTACAATTTTAACTTTTTAATTCTTTAATACAGTTCAATTTGTTAGGGTGGTAAAAGTATAGAGGATTTCTGATTTTTATTTCTACCAATGTGGCAGTGTTTTTACAGCAGCTAAAGAAACCCCTGGTGGCGAGTTTCTGTTTGGGGTGAGGAAACGTTCTGGAAACACACAGTGGTGACAGCTGAACAACACTGTGAATGTACTTAACGCCGATGAACTGTGCACTCAAAAACGGTAAAATGGAAAACTTTGTTATCAAGAGTTTTACCATACACGTACAAAAACTACTTTAAAAAAAATCCAACTTCTGCCTTGACTGGCGTAGCTCAGCAGGATGGGTGTTGTCCTGCAAACCAGAAGGTCACCACTGGTTTGATTCCTGGTTCGGGGCACACGCCTGGGTTTCGGGCCAGGTCCCTGGTTGGGGGCATGTGAGAGGCAACCGGCAGATGTTTTTCTCGCTCTCTTTCTCCCTCCTTTCCCCTCTAAAAATAAAAACAATCTTAAAAAAAAAAAAAAAAAACACCCAACTTCTGACAATGGGGAAAATGTGTGAAAGGTAAATGGGAACTCTTTGTGCTATCCTTGTAACCTGCGTCAATCTAAATTTACTCCAAAATAAGTGGTCTATTAAAAAAATTTTTTAAGGAACAGTTATCCCCCCTGAATTTATTTTTATTCATTTGCCCAGAGGTAAAAGCCCGGTTACTTTTGTGAATATAACTTAAGCCAGAAAGATGATTTCCATCAGCAGTAGCTACCTTCCCACATAACAGCAGAGTTACAGTGTTGCCGTGCTGCTCGTGAGTTTTTGGCCTTATGTTTAACTTCTGTGGCCTTTAGTTCTTGTCCAAGGTCAGAACACAAGCCATCTCCAGCTTAGACACAGGCTCTTTCCTAACTGCCATTTCTCAGGCACTATGGCTTTGGGCACAAGGAAATTGCTTGCTATGGACACAACGTACTATGTTTTTTAATAAAAATGAAATCACAGTATGTTGGCTCCACATACTGTGATTTCTCAATTACAGTGACTCCTAAAAACCTGGTGATACACCTGAAAACCAATATTTCCTTAGGAATGAAGGAAATTAACTGTTTACATAATTACTGTCACAATAAAATACCCATTTTAAAGAACAGACAGATTATACCTACTTTCTTTCGACAGACTGCTTTTCTTTCAGGAGATCATTTAGTCTCTCTTCCAGGTTATCACATTTCTCAATTGTTTCTTTAAATTTGGCCTTCATGTTGTTAATCTGAAAAAGCAAACAGAGGTTTCTTTTTTTAATTTGGGGGTGGGGTGGGGAAAACATCGATTTGTCGTACCACTCATTTATGCGTTCATTGGTTGCTTCTTGCATGTGCTTTAACCAGAGACCAAAACCTGCAACCTTGGTGTAACAGGACGATGTTTTAACCAACTGAGCTACCCCTCCAGGGCCAACTGGAGATCAGTTCCATTTCACAGCACAAAGATAAAGTTGTGTGGATCTGGGGACTAACTTCTCAACCCCCCTCTCCCCCAATGACCTGTGTGTAACGTTGACAACCCAAACTTAGAAAAGGTGAGACAATCGTTTTAAAGAATTCCTCTAAGAGGAATAAAAACTTTTGAGAAATCCTTTTTTTCCTTACTGTTTCTTTATACCAGGATAAACAAAGGGTCGGGAGCCGCCAAAGTCGAGGGAAACGGCTGGAAAGTGAAGAATGGACCTCAGGCAGTAGAGCGGCCGGGGACGGCTGGTTAGAGACGCTAGAGCAGGGCTTCCCACTCTTAACTCACCATTGTTTTTGCCTCCTGAGACTGCATTCCACAAACTATTACCCGAATAATCTAAGAAGCTTATCCAGTCTAACTGATTTTCTTTGGGGTTTCCCACCCTCAACTCACTATTGAATTTCTCAAGTACCAGGAAGCCACATGGAATATAATGAGTTCTGGTTTTACTGAGTTCTTTACAATAAAGACAATACATACGGAACTCGTTCATATGACATCTGAAAAACTCAGATTCACTCCACGGAAAAGGTGTACAGATTTGGGAAACACCTCACCTCGACTGACCTTAGGACACGGGGAGAAGATCAGGTGGGAAGGGGAAGCAGTGAGGTTGGGTAAATCACGGGGCAATAGTGACAAGAACTGAAAGTAACTGAGGATTTAAATCCTATGGCCCAGGCACCTGCTAGGTATTTTATAAGCAGTATCTCCTTATAACACACCTATGGCTTAAGCATGCCAGCTTTTTACAGAAACTGAGGCAACATATGCAAGGTCACTCAGATAGAGTGTGGTGGGTCCAGGACTGGACCCCCAGTCTGGGTCCAAAGCCAAGTTCTAAACCTCTCTTTCCCTACACTGTAGTCCTAAGCTGCACAGCAAAGGAAAAGTGACCTCTGGGCAAGACCTAAACTCAGCAGAGATCCAGGATGCATAGGTCGTCCCAAAGGGCCACTGCTTTGAACGCTTCCTTTTAAGAATCGTTTTATTTATTTATTTGAGAGAGAGACAGAGAGAGAGAGAGAGAGAGAGGAAGAGAGCAATACAAACATCGTTTTGTTGTTCTCCTTATTTATCCATCCACTGGTTGTTTCTTGTATGGGCGCTGACCAGGGATTGAACCTGCAACCTTGGTGTATCAGGACAACACTCCATCCGAGTTAGCAGGCCAGGGCCACCACTTTCTTTTTAAATATTTGCCATATGGCCTCCCTAGCAGGTCTCTAAAAAGTACTGCTCCCTCCTTTGTAATAATAAGAAAATAACTGCTTTGGAGAAATTAACTTTATAGCCAACTACCATTAAGTAGGAAAAACATGCAATTAACGGGAGATTTCTGCTTTTTTTCTCTGTCATAAAAATAAAAATAGCTTTAAAATTGCTTTCATTCTAGTCTGTCATTCATTTTCTCCTCAATATTGCTTTAAAATAAAAGAGCATTAGATCCTTTTGACATTTTCTCCTAAACTGGCTCCTGTTAGTTTAGGGAAATCAGAACAGACAGAAATGGAATCAAATTGTCATGTTTTGATCACTAAAGACACTTAAGCCAAACACATTTAAATCAAAATGAAAAATACCAAGTAACCCCAAAAGCTTTTTAATATTGCTTTTAGACGCTATAGATGGAATGTTACGTGGTTTAAATCAGTGCTTTTAAAAACATTTCTGTCCATTAGCCCAAAGTAAGAAATACTCAGTATACAAACACACACAACTGAGACAGGAGTTTCACAAAACAGTATCAAATGTGATGCACTCTGATATTTTACACCTATCCTGTTTTATTCTGTTTAATACAAATGCCAGTTGCGGTCCACCAGACCCACTTTACAGCCCGCAGCTGGAAACACACTGATCGCTAACATGGACCCAGAGGTCCACCGAGAAAAGCGTTACCTTGAGGGGAACTCCCTCGTCCTGACGCCTTCGTCTGTGTGCTTCACTCACGGCCCCGTTAGAACCGAGGACCTACAAGCGGGTATGAGATTCACGAGAACAGACCCTGCCCACACGCTACAAGAAAGGTCCTACCAAAGGCACTGGGGGACAGGAACAGCACCATAATTGAAGTTCACAAAGAAGCTCGACCTTCATCTCCTCCCCTCCCCACCACTAACTTCCAAGAGGCCCACGAACAAGAATCGCTGTCAGCGAAACCCACGCTCGGTTCCTGTTAACCCTTGCACGTGCTCTGCTGCCGGAGGTGCCAGCGGACAGAGGGCTGGTCGAAAGGAGGACAGGGGCAGGAACTTCCATTAACTTGCGGGTGACCAGCACTTGTTACCAGACAACGAAACATTCTTTCCAAGCCCTTTGAGCTTTTCACTTAGGGCTGCCCTTGCCTTCATCTTGTTATCCCTACCTAAACTTAAACACAAGGTTCAGTTTTTAGCTTCCCTGCCGCTTGACTTTTCACGGGCATGTGCTAGAGAATGCAGTTAATCCTCAAGAATCTTAAAAGGCAGAGAGAATCCTGAGCTTAGCTCCCGAGGGTCTGCACGAAGCACTTTAGGTGGTCACGCTGGTGTGGCCGTGGAAAAGCCCGTTAGTGAGGCTGCTTGGGTTGCCGGTGCCCCCCTCTTCCCTGGGAGCCCGTCGCTGGTCGCCGAGTGTGAGTGGCAGCGACCAGCGCGCCCTCCTGAGGGCCGCCAGAAAGCCACGTCCTTCCCCCGTGTGCTCCAATCAAGCCCTATTCAGGACCCGAGTGCCTCTGGAAAGGCATTTCCATTGCTTGGATGGTTCTTAGAAGAATTTCATCAAGAACTTTTAACTAAAGGTCATTTTAAAGCTAGTGTTAAGCCTGATTTTTATTTGATTTTTATCCTCACCTGAGGACATTTTTTTTCCACTGCTTTTAGAGAGAGAAAGGGAGAGAGAGGAACGTCGATGGGAGAGAGAAGCACCAACCGGATGCCTCCTGTATGCACCCAAACAGGGGATCGGGTATAGGGGACTGGGGGTCCGGGATCGAATCTGCAACCTAGGTATGTGCCCTGACTGGGAACTGAACCTGCCACCTTTCAGTTGTGGGACGATGCTCCAACCAACTGAGCCATGGTAGATAGGGCAAGCCTTATTTTTAAAAATTTGATTTCTCCTCATTTGTGGCCACACCCAGACACTAGGACCCACGGGCCTGGCATTAGGAAAGAGCTTGGCCCTGCCTGCTCGGCTCCAGGATAACCCTCCTCGGAGGTGAGCCCCAAGCCCAGATCTGCAGTCCCCATCTGAAAGCCCAGGTACCGGTGGGGATTCAAAAGGTTATCATGTAAAAAATTTCAAAGCCTCCATTTAATACTAGGGGAATCAGTGATTTATGAACACTGTCTGTAGGTACAGAAAATGGCTCCTAGATTCCTAATTGTACATGATCCTCCAGTGTTCACTGGTTTTCAAACTCCCTCTTTGGAACCCTCTGGGTTCCTCGTTCATGCTAGAGACAAAGGGAAAACCAAGTGCGTGGACTCTGGGACCTCCACCAGGGTTTCCACCAAAATCACACCACTTTTCTCTTTTACATGTTGGAGTAGCGAAGGGCATCTTTTTAAAATGGCATCTTTGTTAAAAATCTGAAAACCACTGCCCTAGACCAGCAATTTTCAACCTTTTGCATGTCATGGCACACATAAACTAATTACTAAAATTCTGCTGCACATCAAAAAATGTATTTTTTGCTGATCTGACCAAAAAAAAAAAAAGGTATAATTTTGATTGATTCACACCAGACAGCTACTGTTGTGTTGGCTGTTGTCATTTTTCGGACAGTCTAAGAGAAAAGAGGTCAGTGCTCCTGACTACAGAGTCAGGTGTCGCAAATTTTAAAAATTCTTGTGGCACACCGCTTAAAAATTGCTGCCCTAGACCAATGAGGAACCATGGTGACCACGGAAGTTCCAGCATTTCTGCACAATTTTTTTCCCATCAACTCCGAAGTAACGTCTTGTTGTCTCAGAGGCCCATGTTCAGCTCCCCAAAGCAGCTGTTCCCAGGCTGACAAACCAACTGGCTGACTCAAATTACAACCCTCATGTACATACTTCTATTTTTTAAATAGAATTACACCAGGCACTAGAAAACATTACTGAAGTTAACAAACAAACAACACCCTAAACCTCAAAATACTAAAGCCTTTAAATCCAAGGTTTCTTTCCTCCTCTTTTTTTTTTTTTTTGGTACATGCCAGGTATTTTACTTCTTCCTTAACTTAATATGGTATTGAGGTCAGCAAACAATAAAATTTTGCTTGATTTTAGGTATGCTCAATTTAGTAATCCTACATGAGACTATATGTCTGACTCCCTCCCCTTCTTAAATTATACTTGATTGCATTTGCAATAGTTTTTGTTTTTTTTTGGATTAATTTCATTCTCATTGTGGCTCAGAAACGCTTGTTCCCTGACATTGGCTGTCTCTAATATAATGACAATTCAGGTGCTTCCCACTTCTTCCTGGAATTCTGGTCTAGAGTTAGGTTTCGGGAGTGAGCCAAATTATTCCAAATTCTTGTTTTCTTTTTTCTTCCCCCTAACTCCAGCTTTATTGAGATATAACTGACATACGTTAAAGAAAAGTTTCTTTTTAGAGGCAAAAGGGTCTTTACCCGTCTACGAGACTGAGAAGGAAGGATTCTGAGACTCCCCCGTCCCTGTAGCTCCGCCTTTTCCCACCCCGACATCAGACTGCCCTGCAATGTGGCACTTCAGCAGTCACTACACTGCAAACTTACTTCCTCTGCTGTGTCCTTCTCTATCCGGACGATCTTGTTTTCCCAGTAGATTCGCTGCGATTCCAGCTGGCTTGTTAGTAAATATGAATACTGAAAACATGGAGAACAAACAGCAAAACATAAGTCACTGCAGTCAGTCTCTGAAATCCAATTAAAACCTGACTTCTAATGACCTACGGAAAAGTAAGAGTAACCACCAAAATACACGTTACACCTTGGTTCCACTGTGCTCACTAAACCACAATTACACTTCTGTCATGCTGGGGCTTACGATCTCGTCAGGGACACACAGAGAATGCACAGTAAAAAACTTAGGTGCCTGTTCAAGCTGCTTTAAGAACATGGTTTTTAAGTCCAAGTGTAATTCAGACCAGCCCACCCAACTACTCTCCCCTGCCTCCTGCTTCCCCCGCAGGAAGCTGTCCCCACCTCTCCCAGCCTTGGGTCCAGTGGCCCCTTTCTCAGCTCCCTCAGCACCATGCCTATCCTTAATGGCACCTACAACACTTGCACTTAATCCCTGTTTTTTCTGCCTGTCTTCCTTGTCTGGACAGTATTATTTCAAAGCTGTAACCTTCGAAAGCAAAGACTGTATCTTTACGTCTGTACCCTCAGAGCCTGGGACACGCTGGGTGTTAAGAAACTCTCGCGGCCTGACTACGTGGATGAGCGAACAGTGCTGTGTAACTGCAGGGAAAGGGCAGATGGCCTCTGACAGGAGGACATGGAAGGACTTCTGAGAGAGAGATCTGAGAGGGCTCGGGACGGACAGGAGGAGGAGACGATCGAGAGAGGTGCGGCCCCAGCGCACTACTGAACCCGGACGTGCGCTGTGGACGTTTAGGTCTCTTCGGAGACGAAGGGGTGACACCAATGAGGCCTGCGGTGCAGCAGGTGGAGAGGTGGGGTCTACGGAAGGCTCTGGGGCGCTGCATCGAGAGTGTGCGCCAAGGAGTGGCCAGACCACACCTGCAGTTGGGAAAGGCCGTTCTAGGGGACTCGATCTAAGCCCCTGTGCAGGCCAGAGAAGAGACTGAGAGTGCGACAGAGAGGGGACACCTGGGAGAGCGCGTCTGCGCGACCAGAAGGCGTGCTCCAAGAGGACAGGGAGTTTGTCTGGTGCTGCGGCCCCATCTCCAGGAGGAGTGGCTGACGGACAGCAGCCCTCAATAAAATAATCGTTGAACGGACTTGCAGTCACGTGGAAGGGTTCTTCATTCTAAAAACTTAATGCAAAAGGTCTGAACTTTTGTCATATCAGTACAATTTACTGATGGGAACACCACCACCCTTATTTTAGGCCACTCTACTGATCTGTCAGAACTTAAAAGCCTGGAGATGAGCTAGTTTTCAAATGTCTATTTTCTCCCAAGGTTAAGGTATTTTTTTTTAAACAATCATTTTGAAATTTATAAAACAGGACTCATGGTAAATCTCTCCTTCATTAACATAAAATTTACACAACATCAATTTTATAAGGAGATGGTTATTTACTGCTATGGAGAAAAATCAGATTGTGCTAATTTTGTTGCTTCTTCAAACATATAAATACCCAAGATAGCTTTACAAATATAAGCTTCAAATTCAGAAAATCTAAACTTTGACCATACACTTGTGTATAAAAGCCTCTAATTCATAAAATGCCAGCCCAGTATATAGGGAAAAGCTCCTCGGGCACGGAAAAATACCACTGGGGTTTCCTCATTCTGACCAAGTCTGCTCAGTTTCCAACTGCACTGTAATGCCAACGGGAAGATTCTTAACTTCCGGTTTTACAGCAGCTACAGAGGACACCTTAATACTGAACCTGAGACGACTTGGAACATTGCATTGAAAACAAGGCACAATGAAACGTACACTTTCAAAGAAGAAAATGAGAATAAAATATTTTAATAATCCTTCACAGCAGTAATAGAATTTTTTTTAAATGTTGACATGCAGAGTCAACGGTAAAATTAAAACCCCAAAGGAGGGCAAAGAAGGAAAAACTGGGACAACTGTAACAGAGTAACAATAAAATAAATGCTTTTTTTAAAAAAAGAGAGAAATCTGTAAGGAACATGGGAAGATACTAAAAATGGTTCTCAAAAATAGTGTAACATTTTTTAAATAAAAACGGCTATCCTGTTAAAAAAAATTAAAAGCCCAAAGCATCGTTCAAGTTCGAATAGTGGAAAAAAGTGGTAGACACAGCTATTTAGTAATCACTAGTAACTTCTCTTACCTCTAACTGTAAGGCATCTATTTTCTCTTCCTGGCAAGTATCACCCTCACATTCATACTGCACTATTTTTCCATCTGTTTTACTTGCAACCAGTCGGTGGACATAATTATCTAAAGAAAAGAATAAGTCAACCAAGGCACGTTTCTCTCAGAATGAAGAGTCTCCATACTCTTAACTCCATAACTGACAAAATTTTGGTTTTACAGATCTAAATTGCAATATTTCTTTAAAAGTAGGCTAAATCATTTGAATTTTAAAAGAGCAAGAGGGGAAGAGCGGAAGCGTTAACTCTCTTTATAACATGCGTTTCAGGCCATTCACAGGAAAGAGAGCCCTGCAGGGCCTGAGTCTGCCGCAGCTGTCAGGAAGATGTCAAGCTGCGAGAGAAAGTGGAGAGGTTCTCAAGGAGACGTTGTCACGCAAAATGAACCCAAATGGAAGGACGAGAGCGGTGCTCACCTCCAGCATAGTCCCAGACTCGATGGTTGGTCAGCTGCATGGCATACGTGTGCTGGGTCTCCTCGAAGTGCTTATAAGCATGTCGACTTACATACCGCCCACATCCTATGTGGCCACATATTAAACAAATCCAAAGGTTCTGCCAAGAAGAAGATATGATCGCAATTATATAAAAATACACGACCTGCCTCACTCACTGTAGAAAGGGTACTGATAGAGAATAGGGTTTAGAGTTGTTTCTACGGGAGTTTTAATATACGTTTAAAATCCAACAAGCAAGGATGCTTTTACGGATCCTTTTCTTGCTCTGATTTTAATGGAACTCTATGTAAATAGCAAGAAAAAAATCCATAATTTATCAATAAAAGTGTAGGCTTTTTCCAAGAACAAAGAATAAAATCGTATTTTGCTTAGAAATCAAGTAATTTTTGTAGCTTTATTTCTTGCCTGATGCTAGACAAAAAAAAAAAAAAGAAAAAGAATCAGTCTCAAAAAGGAATCCGTAAGGATTTAAGCCACGCGGGGCAGAAGAAAAGCCCAGACAATGAAAGCTGTGTTCATTCATCTCTCCCACCACCCATTACTTACTTCCTGAACGCCACACTCAAAACACTTATTCTCCTCCACTGGCTCTGGAGTCTGACAGTACCGGCAAACAGGGCACCTGTTCGGGATGCCGAAACACAAGGATACAGGTTAAACGTAAAACAGCTGTCACACCACCCAAAACTCAAAAACTGAATCTTAAACTCTTCCTCTCTAATATACTTGTATCACAACTAAAAATATCACTCAAAACACACTTCCGAGCTATTTGCAAACAAAGTGAAAAAATACCAAGTCTTGATAAAGCAGAGGAAAAGAGAGAAATCTTCATCTACCTTTTACCTTTGCCTACTGTCCTATCTAAAGCTTACATAATCAAAAAAATTAAATATCTACAGCTTAGAATTAGGAACTTTGAGAGACAAATTATTAATTTGGTTTCATGTCTGGTTAGCCATAAGGCAGTTTTTACTTTAAACAATCTGTTTTGTCCCAGCTTCCCAAAGGTTTAAATCATTTAAAATGCATCTTGTCCTCTCAAGACAACTCCTAAGAGTTGGAATGAAAATTTGTAAATGTTACCAAAGTAAAAAGATGATACACTTCCTGAAATGCACATGACATTTTTCCACATGATGGACATCATGTGGAAGCAGATACCAGTGCTCTCTGAGTATTCCAGTTTGATTTACAAAAAGCCAATAAAAATGGCACTGAACACAAATTCACAGATTCACAGAGTAGAAAGGAGGTTACCAGTACCCGGGGTGGGGAGGGAAAAACAGAAAGATGTCAAGAGGCACAAAGTTCAGTTATGTAAGATGAGTAAGTTCTGCAGAACTGGTGTGTCAGTGCGACAGTTGACAAGACTGCTATGTACATAAAATTTGCTGAGAGAGTAGATCATGGGTGCTCTTACCATAAAAAAATAAAAAGAGAGAGAGAGAAAAAAAAGAAGGAAGAAAGGAAGGAAAGAAGGGAGAAGAAAGAAGAAAAAGAGAAAGAAACAAGGGAAATGGTAAAGGTATGAGTGATATGTTGATTGGCTTGTGGTGAATATTTCACAATGTGTAATATATTGGGTCAAGTCATACACCTTAAATATGTAATTTCTGACTGTCAATTATACTTCAATAAAGATGGGGGGAAAGGGGGTGCATTGAAAAAAATCCAGCCCTCGCTGGTGTGGCTCAGCGGACTGAGCACTGGCCTGTGAACCAAAACGTCACTGGTCTGATTCCCAGTCAGGGCACGTGCCTGGGTTGCAGGCCAGGTTCTCCAGCTGGGGGTGCGTGAGAGGCAACCACACATTGCTGTTTCTCTCCCTCTTTCTCCCTTCCCCTCTGTTTAAATAAACGCTTAAAAAAAAAAAAGAGAGAGAGAGAGAAAACTTGAAGAAATAACAAAATGGCAGCTGGAAAGCACCGGGTGTCTTGTCAAAGGTAGGAACCAGCTCTCCGTCATCCCTTTGGTCTGTGTGCTGGCTGCAGTAGGGGTTGGGTGAATAAAAAGCAGAGTAGGTTCTCCCTCCCAGGAGCACACCTACCCCTTTTTCTTCCCCTGAGGTGTACATCTCCTAGGGGTACGCATGACACTTGCAACCAGGGGAGCAATGGGCAGTGGCGGCTCACCCAGGGCTACACCCCTGAACCTGCCTCCAAGGCCCCCTTTCCTCTGACTCTCCAGCGAGCTGACAGCAGCTCTGCCCTGGCTCCCTTCCCTCCCTCCACATTTCTAGAGCGCCAAGGCGGCTCTGCCCTGGCTCTCACCTGCCGCTGCTCCTATCGTGAGCCCTTCCTTGCCTCACTGTCCTCAGCCTGCTGTGCACCAGTTCTCCTGGTGGGTGTGAGGGGCACAGCGGAGAACAAGCCAGACAAGGCCCCTGCTCTGTGAAAGCTGCCCTCTTCTGGTCGCTTGAGGGAGGAGACCAGAGATTCCTGGGCACTTTGGAAGGCGACCCTGCCCTGCTCTTGTACACCCCTCCCCCACACTGCCTTCTCTCAGGTCTGCCTCTTCCCCTGGATAACTCCTCCTCGCCCTCCTCGAGGTGCCACTTCTCAGACAGCCCTGGCTGTGTCAGGGTCCTAGTTCTCCAGTCACAGTGCTGCACACTGCCCCTTTGTGACTCCTGCTATGGTCATGAACTTCACATTTATTTGTATGATTATTTGCTTCTGCGCTTTCCTCTCTGTACTGTACAAGGCCAGGTATGACTTGCCTTTCTAGCTGAGTCCCACAGTGCAGTTTGCAAAGGGAACAACAATGCTTGATTTAAAAAAAGAAAAAGAAAAGGTCCACGGTCTACCTGCACGATGCCACCCTACAATTAAGGCCTCTGCTGTACGGGGATGCAGGCCTCTGCAGGGGTGTGCGCACCTCAGCCTTAGTGCCTGCTGTTACTACTGGCCACCGAGCCATCAGCATTCCTCACATTTACCAACGGTGTGATAAATCTACTGTGGGAGACCGCTGCAGCCCAATAGGTAAGGAAACCAAAGAAAATGGGAGGTATCAAGTGCAGGAAGGAAACACGATTTTAGACCTAGATTTCATTTTAGTGTAAGAGCCTCACACCTAAGCTGCACTTTGCTTCTCCCTCATTCTCTGGCCCCTGGAAAAAAACACCTCATGGTGCCTTGGGAAATTCCACAAGGATTCAGAATCAACATACTGAAAAGAAATTAGTCTAAGAATGCTGATTCCCATATAAACTTGGGAAAGAAAAAAAACAAACAAAAAAGAAGGTTCTTCCATGTGAACTTTTTACTATTGTGGTGCCCAGATTTAAAAAGTCAAATGCTCGGAATGGTTCATTTTGGGAGGTGGCTATTTTTTTTTAATTCTGGGAAAGGGTGACAGTGGGCTTTGACAAGGTGGGAGGTGAGCCCCTGTACTCACGTCGTGTCGTCCCAGCGCTGCAGACACTGGCTGTGGAAGCTGTGGTTACACAACGTGGTGAGGATGCCATTTACGGACTCATCCATGCGCTCCAGACACACGGTGCACTTGGGGAGCTCGGTCAGGTCCATCACGGGGAGGCTGGCACCCTACAGTGGACACCTCACATAAGTCTCACTCTTCACCCACCAGTTGTTTTTATTTTTTTAACTTTTTAAAAATATATTTCATTGATTATGCTATTCCAGTTGTCCCATTTCCCCCACTTTACTCCCCTCCAACTTGCACACCCCTTCCCACCCACATTCCCCCTTTAGTTCATGTCCATGTGTCATAAGTTCTTTAGCCTCGACATTTCCAATACTACTCTTACCCTCCCCATGTCTATTTTCTACCTACCGTCTATGCTACTTATTCTCTGTACCTTCCCCCCCCCCTCCTCCCTCCCCTGTTGCTAACCCTCCATGTGATCTCCATTTCTGTGGTTCTGCTCCTGTTCCAGTTGTTTGCTTAGTTTTTGTTTTAGGTGTGGTTGTTAAAAACTGTGAGATTGCTGTCATTTTACTGTACATGTTTTTTATCCTCTTTTTCTTAGATAAGTCCCTTTAACATTTCATATAATGAGGGCTTGGTGATGGTGAACTCCTTTAACTTGACCTTATCTGAGAAGCACTTTACCTGCCCTTCCATTTTAAATGAAAGCTTTGCTAAATAGAGCAATCTGGGATGTAGGTCCTTGCCTTTCATGACTTGGAATACTTCTTTCCAGCCCCCTCTTGCCTGTTAAGGTCTCTTTTGAGAAATCAGCTGACAGTCTGATGGGAACTCCTTTGTAGGTAACTCTCTCCTTTTGTCTCACTTTTCAGATTCTCTCCTTTAATCTTGGGTAATGTAATTATGACGTGCCTTGGTGTGTTCCTCCTTGGGTCCAACTTCTTTGGGACTCCCTGAGCTTCCTGGACTTCCTGGAAGTCTATTTCCTTTGCCAGAATGGGGAAGTTCTCCTTTATTATTTGTTCAAATAATTTTTCTACTTTTTGATCCTCTTCCTCTTCTCCTTCTGGTACCCCTATAATTTGGATGTTGGAACATTTAAAGATGTCTTGGAGGTTCCTAAGCCTCTCGTTTTTTTAAATTCTTGTTTCTTCCTTCTTTCCTGGTTGGATGTTTCTTCCTTCTGGTCCACACCACTGATCTGAGTCCCAGTTTCCTTCCCATCACTATTGGTTCCCTGTACATTTTACTTTATTTCACTTAGCATACTCTTCATTTTTTTCATCTAATTTGCAACCAAATTCAACCAATTCTGTGAGCATCCTGATCACCAGTGCTTTGAACTGTGCATCTGATAGGCTGGCTATCTCTTCATTGCTTAGTTATATTTTTTCTGGAGCTTTGATCTGTTTTTTTACTTGGGCCATTTTTTTTTGTCTTGACACACCTGTTCCGTAGTGATGGGCAGAGCCTTAGGTGTTCACCAGGGTGGGGCAACCCAGTCTCTGGGTTGTGACATTGTATGTGGGGCAGGGGTCAGAGAGGGAACAATGGCACTTGCTCTACTCTCTGTCAGATTTCAATCCCTTCTGCTACTTCCCACAAGCAAAGTCGGCCATTCTGGTGCTGACTCCTGTATGGGTGGGCATGTGTACATTCTAGGACCCTGTGGGTCTCTCCAACACACTCTCTTGTGAGGTTAGGAGTCTCTCCAGTACCTCAACCCCCATGGCTGTTTTCAATTGGTGTTTTGAAGCTTTATTTTCCTGCGCTGGGACCCTGGGTTGTGTCGTCTGTCTTCCTCCCTAGTTTCTTCTGGCTTATCTGCACACAAATGTGGGACCGCCCAGCCCACCAGCTGCTGCGCCCCTCCACGATCTGCTGCCTCGCTGGGTATGCCCGCTCTGCCAGCCACCACTTCGCCGAGACCCCTCTCTGCCTGGCCGCCCGATTCCGCTCCTCCTACCTGTCTGAATGAATGTCTCTGCTTTAACTCCTTGGTTGTCCGACTTCCATACAGTTTGGTTTTCTGTCAGTACTGGTTGTTTTTTGTTTCTAAATTGTTATTGTCCTTATTTTGGTTGTGCAAGGAGGCACAGTGTGTCTACCTACGGCCCCATCTTGGCCGTAAGTCCAGCCAGTTCTTGTTTAAAAAAAAAAAAATCAATAGAGACTTTCAGCCAAGATGGAGGCATAGGTAGACACACTGTGCCTCCTCGCACAACCAAGATAGGGACAACAACAATTTAGAAACAGAGTAACAACCAGAACTGAACACAGCAGAGCTCCCTGCCTTCACAGAGCTGACATTCTCGAAAGGGAGACTCCTGCCAAATCCCCACAAAGAATCTGCAGCGTTACCAGACTCTGCACACTAACTGTAAAGGTCTGTGACTGTTAACAGGATACGCATGAAGAAAAGCAGATAGGCATGGATCTGAATGATTTTTTCAAAGAGTAGATAAAAGCTTAATATTTTCTATTAAGTGATAATGTCAACACTGGTTTTATTTTTTTATTTACTTACTATTTTAAAGATTTTATTTATTTACTGTTAGAGGGGAAGGAAGGGAGAAAGAAGGAGAGGAACACCAATGTGTGGTTGCCTCTCACGCACCTACTGGGGACCTGGCCTGCAACCCAGGCATGTGCCCTGACTGGGAATTGAACCAGCGAGCCTTTGCTTCACAGGCTGGCATTCAATCCACTGAGCCACACCAGCCAGGGCCATTTACCTACTGATTTAAAACACACTTGTCGAGTCCCTGCTCTGTGTGCCCAATGCTATTTAGGTGCGGGGCAGTGGTGAGCAGAAACAGATGCAGTAAATCTGAAAAAAGGTCAGCTCCACCCTCACAGAGCTTAAAATCTAGTAGAGAGAGAAAAATCAAGTTTTCTAAATAAAAAGTACAATCACCAATGGTCATAAGTGCTAGGAAAGTAAAGCACATGAAGCTATAACGGCGTGTGAAATAGGGGGCACGATGGTGTAGGGGGTCAAGAACGGCACCTGTGAGGCAGTGGTATTTGACCCGAACCCTGCCAGCTGTAACATGGGCAGGAATTAAATATCTGGGGGTACACATTTTTCAAAGTAGCTTCAGAAAATAGTCCAAGACGAAACCAAGCAATCCCTCTCGACACAGTGTCAGGAGGCAAAGCCCCACGCACTCAGTCTAGAAAGCAATCCCCAATTTCTCTGTAAGACTTCAAAATGGAGCCACAGCCAGAGAAATTCTAAGGAGTGGAATCTTTATTAATATGAAAATTGTGGCTACCTTGACACCTGGCTACTTCATTAATTATGTTCACTCAATGAAACAAGAAGTTTTTACAGGAAAAAAAAAAAGATGAGCAGGAATTATTGAGGCACGCCAGAAAGACACGCTGAGAAAAACTGCCTCCACGGTCCCTGAAGAGCAGACGTCCCCAGGAAACCCCTCTAGAAGCCATGTCCATTAGAAAGGAACGTAACCCTGAGGCCTTGGGCGCCTAGCACAAAGAAAGCCTCATTTTACCACTTAGTGATTTTTATTTTACCTAATCCAATGATAGAAGAACGTAATCAGAACTTATTTCCACCAAGTTAATTTCAAGATATAAAGACCTTTAGGTGTACTTTAAAAGGAAGGAAATCTTAGAAATATAACAGAGCTGGATCTACTATTTTATGAACTGATTCCAGTGAGCACATTCTGCAGGTAAAGTTCCCACGGAGGGTGGTAGATCAGAGCAGCTACAAACTGATATTGAAACAGAATCAAGAAGCAGGATGCAGGTTAAGGGTTGATATTTAAAACAAACACACTTCTTTTAGAATCCAGGTGATATTTCATCAATGTGGAATAGCTGAACATTCAATTTTAATAATACAGACAATAGCCCTGACTGTTGTGGGTCGGTTGGGTGTTGTCCTGTGGACCAAAAGGTCACAGGTTCCATTCCTGGCATGGACACATGCCCGGGTTGCAGGCCAGGTCCCTGGTTGGGGGCGCACGGGAAGCAACCGATCAATGTTTCTCTCTGATATTGATGTTCCTCTCTCCCTCCTTTCCCCTCTTTCTAAACACACATCAATAAAATCTTTAAAAAAATACAGATAGTATCCTTTTATGTATTTTTTTTTACATTTTTGGACAATTTTTAAAAATTGAGATAAAACTCACCATTTTAAAGTGTACAATTCAGTGTCATTTTTAGTATATTTACAAGTTGGAGCAACCATCACCCCTACCTAATTCTAGGACATTTCTGTCACCCTAAAAAGAAAACCCATACTCGCCTGCAGTTACTCTCCATTCTCCTCATTAATCTACTTTCTGTCTCCATGGGTTGACCTTTCTGGGTATTTTCAGAGATATATCTTAACATTCAGCTTTACGCCATTCTGGTATGTGTATCAAATACAGGAATCGCCCATACTCACGTCTTCAGACTTCAGCACTTCAGCCCTTTCCACGTAGACCAGCTGGCAAACATCGTCTTCTATCGAGTTGAACTGGCGACCGTTGCACGCCATGTAAAAGCTATCTGCATCAGCCTGGGCACACCGGTGGGGAAAAGGAAAAAATTGAGAGAGACCCTGAACGACAGTCTTATGTTCACAATGCATGGCTTCAACTATTCTCCTCATCACCTTTTCAAACTGAGACTTAAAAGAGAGAGGGACAGTCAAAAGTAACATCTACGGATGCGGGCAGCAGGTTCATGGGCTAAGCGAACTCTGCAGGTCAACACTCTACATCTCTACAACGCTTCCTGATCCATCATGATTTACCGTAACTAGCAGAAGCCACTGAAGTGCAGTCAGCTGACAGCCAGTATAATTTTAATATTCAACCAGCAACAGCCAACATTTCCCTGGACAGCAATACTTCTTGCCCCCAGTCAGCACTTTTACAGAAGCTGAACATAAACACGTATTTTTGCAAGGCCTGGAACCATATCCTAACTGACGATTGTTAGGGAATAGTGTTTTTTAAAAAATGTTAGCATCTATGTTTGAAAAAGTAAAAGACCAGGGGAACTGGTATGGAGTATAAAGCTAACTCCTCTTCAATAAATCAAATAATAACAACACATGATAGATAAGGATGCCATTAGGAGATTTTAAACAGCCTAGAATGTAATGCCAAAAGCAAGATGAACGAGCCTTTAACATACTAATAGTCTCCCTCTCTTGGAGCAGAAGATTGGTGAAATCGGAAGTAGTCCCTTGCAGAGGCATTTGTGAATATGAGCAAGTAAACTAAATCTTCTAGACTAGACTGGCCTTAGTAGCAAATAACAAGGAGATGATTTCAGTTTTCAAACAGCAATTTTTAGAGGCAGCGGAGAGGCCAAGGCTTGTCTGGATCTCCCTCCCATTGGCCATTAGCCCAAACACAGGAAGTTGTGTGCTCGGGCCCTATCCATGTAGACAGGCTGCTTGGGCGCAGGGGGTGCTCTGCATAAGGAATTGCCTCATTGTTAACATCTAGGAAGATATTCGAGTCCGTACCAGGCGGAAACTGTCTTGTAGGTCTACCCTTGCGTGGTTTTGAATCTTAATGGTAAAAGCTTGTAAGCGTTTCAGTAGCTTTTAATTTCACTCTGATGATATAATCAAAGATGGGCTGATTATCCTTTCTTTCTTTGATTTTAGAGAGAGAAAGGGGAAAAGAGGGAGAGAGAGGGAGAGAAACATCAATTGGCTGCCTCCCACAGATGCCCGGACTGGGGACTGAACCTGCAACCCAGGCATGTGCCCCAACATGGAATCCAACCAGCCACCTTTCAGTTTGGGGGACAGCACCCACCCAACTGAGCCACACCAGCTGGGCAATTTATGCTTTCCTAATATGAGAAGGGAAATAAACAGCTGAGGCAGGATGACTAATTCTGCACAATTATATTTAGCAGGGGAAAGGAGGGGCTTTCTTTCATAAAGCAACCTGTGTATCGGGTACAGTGCACTTACTAACTACAAAATGCTAAAAACTAGTTTTTGGATAATACGTCTCTTTAATACTAAGAAGAGGCAACCTACAATGGCTTTCCCCATTCTTTAAGAGAAATGGCTTTTCCTGAAATGCTTAATTAAGTAGAAGCAGTAACTAAATTACTGCCATTATGCAATTTCTTGCAGACAGTGGCTATCTTCCCTTCCCCACACTTTCATCCCACGCCTACTGGAAGGGGGACGGACCCCAGGGATTAAAGTGAGGGCTCCATCCCAGCTCATTCACATTATTTCAGGCTGTATAATCCTAAGCAAATCACCAACCTTTCTACCTATGCAGTCAGTTTCCTGGTTTGTAAAACAAGGACAACAGTACTTGTCCCCCTTACAGGGATGTGGTGAGGATTAAATGAGATGATGCGCATTAAGTGCATAGCCCAGTGAATGGTATAGAACAAATAGTCAATAAAGGTTGCCTATCATCACTGTCCTTATTGTTACACCTGCTACCACTTGCCCACTGTTTTTGCAAAGCTCTTCAGTGATCTCGGAAGGTCTCCTGACAGTCAGTGAAAGCGGCTGTTTAAGTGCTTTTCTGTTCTCAGCTTGTAAAGTCTAAGTCTCAGGAAAGTTGAAACACTTGTTTTTAAATGCATCCTTCCATGGCAGGGTGCTCTCGAAGGTTAGAGGTAACTGTGCACCCTCTTGTACACGGAACGCCACACTCAGGGTTCTCATTCTGTGGGCCACGGGACAGGTGCACACACAATCCGACTGTCACTTCTCTGCTTTCCTTCCCAGGGCCGATGAATGACTGCTCCTGCTGTCAGCTCCAGACGCCCATGACAAGGAACAAGGAAATGGTAAGTGGGCCTTGAGTCATGGGCTCCTTTCCACCCACAAATCTTGGTGACTAGTCAGGGGTAATGGCAACTGATCCTACAGACATACTCATTGTTGTCAATCTGAAAATTGGAACTACTTATCTGGGGCAAATTCAGAAAGCCTGTTTATCAACGAGGTGAGACAGAAGTCGTTTTTAACAAAGCTGCATTTCAAAATTAATAAACAAACAAATATAACAGGTTGTTAAAAAACAAATAAATGAAGCCTACAGATGAGGTAGCTCTTTAATAACCTGAATACCTAACGCTTATCTCATTTTTACATTCATATAGAAATATGCATACTCATAGGAATGAACATGTAAAACTAAGAGAATCTTTCTAACATCTTCAGAACTGAGACACAAGGAAAGTATTGCTTAATGCAACTAGTGAAATGGAGTGTATGGCAAACCTTATATCAAAAAGTATGTGTTATAAAGCACAAGTGCTTTTAAAAACTGAAAATATCACCATTCTTTCAGTGTTTCTGTGTCTCTATTGCAGTGATTTCCAATCAGAATTCTAAAGCATCTTTAATACTTCAAGAAATGTCAGGAAAATCCTTCACCACCAAAATAAAAAAAGATTTTATTTTCTAAATGTGCCAAAGAATGCCTTTTAAAAAGAGAATGAAAGAAGCAGAGGCATAATGTTATAATGGCACATAATAATTAGTGTTAACTTTAAAAAGTTTGGAAACTATTGTTCTACTAGAATAGTTACCATTGGATAAACACACACACACCCCACCCTACCTTTCATACCCAATGTAACTTATTAATTAGAATTCAGTGTCTGCTAATGAATTTGGAAATATTTCTAGAATTGTAATACCCTAGAAGAGAAGTATAAATCTTAAGTACAAAATATTGTAAATTACACACACAGCTACTAGTATCACACAGTTTCAAAAGCACAGTTTCCGTGGCAAAGAGATTTTTAATATCTTAACTTTTACCTGTGCACTAAACTTTATCAGCACCATATATTGATTTGGAGTAGAGTCTCTGATGATTTTCATTTGTTCAATTACTTCATTAAATGGGGCGACAAACTTCATAAGGTCATGACTGGTCATTGTAGCAGGGACTGTGAGAATACACAGCATGGCACTGCGCCTCACGTCTTCTTTTAAGGAGGTCATCTTACTAACGAGACAATAATCAGACTGTCTTGAACAGACGAGGTATGGTTAATTCACACAACACTAGACAACTCTTAATGTCCAAGAAAATAGGAAAAAAATAAAACGTATAATATTTCACAAATCAATTTAAACAGGCTGTTATTTTACCGGAAAGCCCACACTACATGGGTAAACGCAAAATCCCTTAAACATATCTGCAGTGATGTTTACGGTAAGCTTCGGAATGTTCTACACCACGCCCAGCACTAAAATTTTTAGTCTTCAGTTAAAGGCCTGTGATGGTTACAAATCTGCATTAGGCAATTTGCAGTTTGTGTCTTATTCTCATTAGTTTTTTTAAAACAATCTCCCATTATGTAACCTAGAAGCACAATTCTAAATATGGACTTCTCTAAAGGGTACAGAAAAGAGTGTTAAATATAAGAAAGGGAATTCTGAACCATTCTGAAGATTACCGAAAGCGCTGCTGGGATGGAATAGCTGGAATAGAGAGGGAAAAAACCTCCCACAAAGCAATTTGCTTTTGAAATGCTGCAAACTCACTTCCACAGCTATGATTCCAAACGACTACCTGAGTATTTACTGTTTCCTGGTAGGAATTTCACAAACAAGTTAGGACAAGGGCAGCCTTTCAAGAGATCAGCTCAAAATTATCCCAGGAGCTGATGGCCCAGTTTAAAGATTACCTAGCCAAATGCTTCCTTTGTTTTGGCCTCCTGCAAGCTTTGCTTGAACCACAGAAAAGGCTAAAAAGAGGTGATGAAATTACAATCCATTACCTATTTTCTTAGTTTCTTTCAAAAAGATTTGGTGGGGATGTGAGATTCCTGCGATATTACGAGTCATTTACATATTTTTCTTGTCTATCTTCTTTTCTTTCAATTTTCCAATCACCTTTCATGCCTGCCTTCTCAGGGAGTATTTTCCTAGAAAGTCTATCTACACATTTCTTTCATAAGAAGTTCTAATCCAATCTATAAGATTGATCAAATATAAAATATTTAAGAATTTTCTAACACACAATATAGAAAAGTACTATCTTTTTGAAGCTTAGAATAGCCACTTCCCTTCAGGACAAAAGATTTTTCTCTTCCCTAAAACAAAAACTGGACCAACTCAAAAGGAAAATGATTTTTCTTACTTTGTCTTATACAGATGCATGATACCATGAACTATTTCAACGGATGGATTTCCACTGAAGAATGAAATCTGGTCTGGAAGCTGTTTGGATGGAGAATCGGGAGCAGCATTTATGCTTTCTTTGCTCTGATCCTTACTTCTCTGTGCAGTGGAGGATGCTTCTGAAGACTTTCTTTCTTCCATGGTAGCTTTCAGCTCATCTTTCACAAATCAAAAATTAGCAGGTTATAAATAGATAGGAAATATTTGCTTAAGGATTCTAATTAGATTAAAATTCTGAGTCAGAAGAATAAACTTTGACAGGGAAATTGTAATACATTCCATTGAAAACTATAGTCATAGAACAGCCGTGTTTTGGGGGCATCTCAGATTATAAGTGCTCTCTGCCCCATAAAAATCTCATTACCACCCTCAGAAACTCAAGGATGGCTCCTACATTTGGCAGTGCCATAGTAAAAGCAGGTACCTTACATCATGCACTTTTAAGTGGGCCATTTGGAGCTGTTAAGCTTGAAAACCAAACCTACCAGTTCTGACCACCTCCATGCTGGCTGGATATGTAGCATGCGTCCAGTCCCCTGGTTGGAGTGAGCTGGCAGAACGAGGGGACATTCAGCACACTTATCTGGATTCATTCATTATCTGCCACTGACCCAGGTGGTCAGCAGCTCTCCTCACTGATGACAGCTGTCAACTCAGCTTGTTAGGATTAACTCGGGAGAAATATTCGGGAAGATGAGATGTGGCCTGACAACCTCATGTGAGGCACGGTCAGTGAGAGAGAGGAGTGTCCTAGAGGTCAACATCATGGGCCCACTGACTGATGTGCATAGAGCAGACTACCAGAGACGCACGTTACAAAAGGGTCTAGGGCTTTGGAGAGTATACCTGGGTTGGACTTGATGGTCTCGATGATCATGTCTGTCATTTCTCGACGGCCAAGATGCTGATGTATGATTGCTGCTCTCTCTCCCGGTGACTTCCCTTCTAAACAGGCTGCAGCGGAAGCGAGTGTCTTCTTTTTGATCTCCTCATCAGACATTTCCCTGGCTGAAGAACACATGAATGATTAATACCTGATAATGAAAAGGGCTCGTCTCCACTCTGAATGTATCCATTGACAGGGTTCCCTTTTCTCTCCGTTGCTTTCCTCCATCTCACCCCCTCCTGGGGCTCCTGCGGTGCCCATCTGGACAGTCGAGAAACACCCGGTGAGTAAGTTCAGAAATGCAGGGCTGTTCCACTGAAAGTATTCACTTTAAAGCAATTCAAGGAGAGTAACAGCTCAAAGCTTTGACAGTGGTTATGCCCGGATGAACCAACCATTCTGTAATACCTAGTGCGGTGCAGCTGCGTGTTGAGTCCAAAATGAAGATATCAAGTCGTTATCACTAAGAAAACTTCCAATACCTTTAGGGGTAGTCTTCTTAAACACCCTGTGTTACGACTCACGCAAATCTAGGACCACTGTCTTAAGTCAAAGAAACACACAAAAGCAAAAGGAATTTGGAGACTCGACTGAACTATCCTTAATATAAAAGTTCTACCAGGGCAGAGACCAGACCTGTTTTGCCTATCACTAAACCCGCAGTGCCTACTCAGCACACGCTGGAAGCTCTTTAAAGGTTTATTGCATAAATGTCTGAATGCATCAATGGCTCACCTATGTAGAAGTGACTATTGGCTAATGCAGAGTTGGTTGACTTTCAGAACTCAGAGATCACTGCTAGCCTTTGAAAAGGGCTCATAACTCATTAAATCATCTTCGATCTTTAATTTGCCGCTCCAAAATTCATATATTCAGGAAAGTTTCCAACACCACCATCCCTACCTGCCTCAGTCCCCCTCCCCAAACCAAATGGAGCCTCTTGTAATAGCTTTCCAAACTGTGTCTTGCTTACCTTCACAGCACTTAGCCCAGCTGTAGTTCTACATTTATTCCGTAATTAATTCATGTCTCCCCCAGTGAACTGCTGGCTCCATTACAGCAGGGGCCCCCGTCTGAGTCCGCAAAGCAGACTAACGCTCCAGCAGACAGGGAGCACCCCGTGAGTATTTCTGGTATGTTCGAGTTAGGTAATTGCGGTCCAAGGAAGAGTCACAACTGCATTCCAATCTAAGGAGGCCATGTGGCTGCTAGAAGAACTCAAGACTCTCAAGCCCAGCTCTCTGAGTTAGAATCCCAGTCTCTCCACTTACAGATCCTGGTGGGCAAGTCATGTAATCAATCACTGGGTTTGAGTTTACCAATCTGTGAAAAGGGGCCCCCACCCATCCAACCTAAAAGAGCTGTTAAGATAAAAATAATGCATACGGGGCATGTGGGCAGTGGTAGCATATGGTAAGTGCACAAACGTTTGTTATCATCATTACCATTGTTATAATACATGGCGCCTAAATGAGGGCTTTTTTTCCAAGAGGAACGAGCTCGCTAAACCAGGGGCCGTCGGTGGAACCCAGCCCCTGCCCCCAAACAGCCCGGAGGAAAGCAACTTACAGAACTTGGCTCTCACCCAGGGCGGAGCCGCGACGCGCCAGGTGTAAACAGCGCTCCCGTGGGTAGACGCAGGAGGGAGGGACCCGGAAGGCCTCCGGAGAATAGAAAGAGGGGGAACTAGCCCCCTCTCGGCTTCTTCCTGAGGCTCCGGCCCTGGCGCGGTCCTTCCCCGCCCGGTTCTTCCGGAGGACAGCCCCCACCCCCACCCCCGGGGCCCAGAAGCACGCTACGGGGAAGGCGGCGGGACTCACCCGCGGCGCTGAAGCCGAAGCCGGCGGGGACCGGCGAGTGTTCCGCGAGCTCCAGTCGGATGACAACCAGTGACACACTCATAGGGCAGGCGCTGGCCGGCGCGGGCCCCGGCGGGCTCAGGAGAGGCTGGGAGGCGAGCTGGGAGGCCGAGCGGCCCGCGGGTAGCGCCGCCACCGCCTCGGCGCCGCCGCCGCAGCCTCGGCGGAGCAGCTCCTCTCACGACCCTCGGAGCCACAACAACCTCCACTTCCGCCTCCCGGTCACAGGGTGCCTTTTGCGTGGGCCGGCGCGCGCTGCGATTGGCTGGGGTGGCAGGCACGTGGCTGGCGTGGCGGCGTGGAGCTGGATCCATCTGGACGCAATCGCGAAGAGGTTGGGAAGGAGGAACGTCGTGGGCATTGCAGGCACCCCTTCCCCCCACATGAGGCCGATCGGTGGGTCTGCGCCCAGGCCCCGGTTAACCGACCCGGCAGGCGTCGCCTCGGCGCCCCTCAGCTGAGAGCCCCCGCTCCGCGAGGTCTTCGAGGTCTGCAGGTTGTTGGAGGCACTCGCGTTGCCTCCTTTGGTCGCGTTTGACCGCTAGCTGTAAGTCTAGGCAGGGTTGCTTTGTGTCAGCCCGCCTTCACAGAGGGGTACGCCGAGAATTAGGTGAATCCACTTCTCCGAGGGCCCCTAGGATGAGTGGGCACTGGACTGCAGTGATTTCGACTCCGTTAAGCTAGGGCGCCGGGCTGGTTGAGCGCAAAGTGCTGGCGATAGATCCGGGTCCTGCTCCCCCGCCCCATCTCTTCACAAACGTTTACTGGGAGCCTAGGGCACTGTTGGGGGTGGGGGGGATACCTTGGTGAATAAGATAAATACCCAGTTCCTGTTCTTATGGAGTCAACCTTGGCCACCAGTTATATGACCTTGGTCTAGGTTTTACGTAAAATTGGAATAATATTCTCATACAGCTGTGAGAATGAAATGAATAGAGCCCGTGACTCTGTACACATCAGCTTTTCTGAGATTCAGTATTCTTTCCATATGCCTTTAGCATATAGGTAGTCACAGTCAACACATAGCGGCACATACATGACCAGTGTGTGCTCTTCTAGTAATGCTGTGATATCTAGATGTGTCACAGCACATCCTGGACATGTGAAGGTGTATAGACTATATACACCTTCTACTAAACACTCATGCTATAGTAACAATAGCAGTATATAACATTTAATAGTGTGCCGGGTACTAACCTGAGTACTTTACATACTTTACCATGTACTAAACACTCATGTAATAGTAACAAGGACATTATGAGAAAAGTACAATAATTGTTCCCACTTTACAGAGGAGGAGGCTGAGGCTCAGAGAGTGAGTAACGTGCTTAGGATTTCACACTTAGTAAGTGGCAGAAGTAGAATTTGAACCCAAGCTCTCTGATTCCAGAGCCAACACTCAATCTGTTTACTAAAGCATCTTTTTAGTGTGCAACTCGATGTGTGTGCCTACTTACCCCAGCATAGTTTAGGCGGTTCGATCCGTAGACGTGGCAGGTAGCATGGAGACGCGAGCAATGACAGCGTCTTCTGTCTCTGAAGGAAGTATGGGGAAGCGGCTAGAACGGAATGGTCGTCTCTAAGTGGAAGGAAGAAGCAGGCCAGTCACGGGAGCGTTGCCCACGTGTCCATTAGTGGGAGTATGTGGAGGGCAGTGTCGGCAGTGAGGACAAAGGCCAGTCCCCTGGGCCCCAGAGACACTTTTCATCTCTGTTAAGCCCTCACACAAAATGTGTTGGTGCTTTTAGGAACCTATAAATAAATTTCTCCTTCCATTATAAACTTGGGCCTTGGCATTAGAGCATAAGTAAAACTGAAAACGCAAATCAGCCTTTACATTTTTCATTTCAAAATTCACTCCCCGATTCAGCAAGTTTCCAATTACGTGAGAAACACAGTACATCGTCTTGAAGATTTACTGTGTAAGAATCTTTTTAGATTCTTGGTTTATTGCATCCTTAGGGTGGCACTGACGCGACTCTCATAAACTTATAGGTTCGCTTACCAACCTGTTTCACTCTAACCTGATTTTCAGTAAGTTTTCAACTACAGAAGTCACATAAAAAACAGATTTTCATGAGGAACTGACTGCAAATAGAATTTGCTTTAATTATTTTGTCCTCCCCACCCCACTGCTTTTTATCTCAGACCTATAGAAAAGTTTAAAGAATAGTGTAAGGTCTCTCAATACGCTTCATCATATAACTTTCACCTGAATTGTTTTGCCACATTTGATTTGTCTCTCTACATGTATCCGTAGGTATACATATCTGTGTGTGTGTGTGTGTGTGTGTGTGTGTTATGTATATGCTTGTTTTTTCTGAACCTTCTGAAAATAAGTTTGGGCAAGAGGCGATGGAGAACAGTTAGGAAGCTATTGCAGTCACCTGAAGGAGGGCTGACGGCACGGTGGTGGAGTCGTAAGTGCTAGGAGGGGGTAACTACAGGGCGTCTGAGGAACGTACAGCAGAGACTCCTCGTCGGTCCTTTCTGGTAGCCAGAACAAGTTTGAGGAAGGAAGTGACAGGTGAAGTATGACCTGAAGGACAACCTGGAACTAGCCAGGGAGCCAGTGGAAGGGAGCATCCCAGGCCAAGGGAAGAGCATACGAGAGGCTTGGGAGCAGGAGGAGAACGTTGCTTGAGGAAGCTGCATACAGATTTGTGGGTCTGGATCGTCCGGGTTAATGTGTAAAAACTGGGGGAGGCAGATCTTATAGGGCTTTTTAAGTCAGGTTAAGGAAGTTTATTTTGAGGGCACTGGGAAGCCACTGAAGTTTTTAAATGAGGTTAGGATGTGATCAAATTTACTTTTGAGAGATTACTGTGGTTGAAGAGGGAAGAAAAAAATGGGAAGGACGTTTGAGGAGAGGCAAGGGGATGATTTCGGGGGCTGTTGCAATGATCTGCCCGTGAGATGCTGGCAGTAAGAGTGGAGGGAGGTCGTGGAGATTTCAGGAGGAACTGGTAGCCCAGAGCAACTGGAGTTGAGGTTGCTGGGTGGAGGACTAAGGGAAGGCAGGGGCCAGCTCCACAGGGTTCTAGCATGGGGAGCTAGGTGAATGGTGGAGCCCTTTACCGAGCTAAGGAGCCCGGGGCAAAGGAGTAGCCGGGGAGAGCAGAGACGGAGCTCAGTTCTGGCTGTGGTCTGGAGTGTCTGTTGGAGATCGGTGGGGATGTCCAGCCGACAGCCCTGAGCTCCAGGGCCAAGGTCTGGACTGGAGGTGGTGAGGGCAAACTGCCCTGTGCCTTCTCACGCAGCTTTGGCCTCAAGATGCACATAGGACGGCTTTTCCAGTCCTCACGTCTCCAGTGGGCTTGGAGGGCAGCCTTCCTGAGACACAACCAGTGCGGGTCCCAGGGAGCCTGGCGACGGACACATTCCAGAGGCGGTCCCTACAGGGCGGTCATTTTTGACATGGGTGGAGTTCTCATTCCTTCCGCAGGGAGACTGGCTGCAGGTGAGCTCTTTCTATTTCACTTTCAGAGGCGGGCTTGGGGTGGGGTGGGGGATGGAGGGTGGTAAGGGGAGATGGAGAGGAGCACTGGGGCAGCAGTGTGTCCCAGTGGGTAATATTACGGCTCTTGAATCAGATTCCAGCCACCACTCAGTGGCTGATGATGTTGGGCAAATTATTCAACTTCTCTGAGTCTTACCCTCCTCATCATTAAGTCAGGGCTAATAATAGTACCCACGTCTTTGGGGCGTGAGGAGAGTGAAATGAGGTGGCCCACAGCGAGTGTTCGGCTCACCTAAAATTCCCAGTACGTGTTGAGGTGCCATTGTTATGCGTAGGGTTTAACCGCCTTTCCCTGAGACCTGGGCCAAGTCGGGTGTAGTCTTGAATGCTGAAACCCCGCCCTTTGGTCACAGCCTTCCCTCTTCCACCAACCTCCCGCTAAACCCTCGAGAGCAAACCTCCAGTCTCTGAGCCTGTCTTTGTCAGCCTCTCCTGGTTTTACCTTTTCCTGCTTAGGTTAACTGACTTCACTTGGACAAGTTTTGGCTCTAGGCGTTAGACAACCTAACAAAACAGTGACGGAAACAAGATGAGGTTTATTTCTTGTGCACTGAAAGCCCAGGTATGGACTAGTGCACAGCTCTGTGACTTCAGGACTCGGGCTGTTTCCGCTGTGTTGCTCTGCTGTGAGTTCTGCCTTGGCTGCTTCGCCTGCTGCCACTATATTCTCATTCCAGCCAGCAGGAAGGAAAAAGGGCCAAACAGCTGTCCCTCTCCTTTTGACCTGCTGTGGCGGCTGGTTGGGCAATTCTCCATGCTAAGTTAACTCAAGTGCAGGTTTTCTGTGCTCCTGGGTAAAAAATTACCCAGCTGTGCAAACTGGCTAAGTGAGCTATTTGTTGCTGTTGTTCCAGGAGTAGCTGGGCTCTCAGCTTCTGTATTCCTCTACCCATATTCCCCTCGCTTTTACTACAGGGCTGTTCCAAACCCCCCCAGGGGTCACCGTACTGCCCCACCCCAAGCCTTCCTGCTTGGCAGACAGAGAACGTAAAGGTCACTGGGCAGGAATCTTCTTGACTTTCTCTAGAATATCTCGAGAATCCATTTGCTTCTCTCCACTCCTACTGCCTCGACCCCTTTATGTCCTTGTCTCTTAGTGAGTGCTGAAAGTGTGTCACATGCAAAGGTGAATGCCCTGCGGCCACCTCCACCCCTCTCCCCTGTGGTTCCAGCCTTCACTGGTTTTCATTGTGAAAAGCTTCTTGTTTATCCTTCAAAAAAACTACATATATGTATATGTGTGTAACTAAGTATGTATACACACATATGAGAGTGTGTCTGTGTATATGTGTGTGACATGTGTATACACAAATTCCAGCTTGGATCACACTCCACAAACGTTTCCACACCTTTCCTTTTTGGACTCCGTAGATTATCTCAGCATCTTTTTCACATCACTAGGCACAGGTACAGTTCAGGGGTCAGCAAACCCTTTCAATGAAGTCCTAGCAGGCTTTGCAAGCCCTGTGGCTCTGCCACAGCTCTTCAGCTCTACTGCTGCAGGGAGAAAGCAGCAATAGACAACAGCGAAGGAACGGGTGTGGTTGTGTTCCAACAAAACTTTTCCTGCAAAGACAGATGGGAGACAGATGTGGCCCCTACGCCACATTTTGCTGACCTGCGGTCTAGTTTATACATCTTAACATGTGTGTGGGATTTCATTAGATGGATCTGCCATAGTTGATTTAACCAGCTCTTTATTAATATATTTATGTTTCTAGCTCTTTTTAAAATATTTTATTTATTTATTTTTAGAGAGAGGGAAAGGGAGAGAGGAGGAGAGGGTAAGAAACATTAATCGGCCCTGGCTGGTGTAGCTCAGTGGATTGAGCGCAGGCTGGGAACCAAAGTGTCCCAGGTTCGATTCCCAGCCAGGGCACATTCCTGGGTTGCAGGCCATAACCCCCAGCAACCGCACATTGATGTTTCTCTCTCTCTCTCTCTCTCTCTCTCTCTCCCTTCCTTCCCTCCCTAAAAAATAAATAAATAAAATCTTAAAAAATAATAATAATAAACTTAAAAAAAAAAGAAAGGGGAATTCTAATCCCTCTCAAAAAAAAAAAAAAAGAAAGAAACATTAATCGGTTGCCTCTTGTATGCACCCTGGCAAACCGGCGACCTTTTGCTCTGTGGGACGATGCCCAACCAACCGAGCCATCCATACTGGTCAGGGCTGCAGTTCTTTTTATTACAGGCAATTCTGCGCACACATCCTGTACCTAACCTTTGCTTACTCTTGTAAGTATTTGTGTGGGAGAAAGCCTTAGAAGTGGAATCACGACATCAAATGCATGTGCATTTAAAACTGCTCTCCACTGAGGCTGTGCTCGTCCACACTCCCGCACGGGAGCACGGGAACGCGCCAGCTTCCTTAGGTGCTTGCCAACTCCGAGACCTTGAGAGATGCTGTACCCTTTCGTTCTAAAATTAAAGAAGTATTCCTATGCGGAATGGGTTTGAAGAGCCTTGCTGTCCTCAGAAGACACACTCCAAATTGGTAACATTGGTTATTTCTAAGAAGGGGATTGCTTGTCGTTTGAGTTTCTTTTTATGCCTTTCTATCTTGTCTGAAACATTTTTGATGTGTAGTCACTACTTGATCAAAACAAAAGATACGTGTAAGTTATGTTACGTCTTAGATATAATTATGAATGTTATATATATATATATATTTGCCCCATAGCAGCTGCATATAGAAAAAGAGCAACTTGGTACAAGACAAAGCAAGCCCTGTCCAAATGTTTCCAGTATATACGAATGCCAGTCCCTCCACTGCCTTAGCTCTTTGTAGAGTGGCATTTTCTCCCTTGTTCCACAAAGACAGCATTCCTCAAGTGAAGGTTTCCTGCTACACAGCCGTCGAGGATTACTGCAGTTTACCAAATGGAGGGCTAGTTTCGGAGTGCTATCAGAATCTGGCTTATCATCACATGCCCTTCCTTCCTGTGTGGCCAGGACTGTGTGCGTGACCTAATACGTCTGAGCCAGCTAATGAGAAACCCGGGAAGAGAGTGTATAATGCGGCGTCCAGTGTCATCTCAGGCAGGTGGTCAGGACAAGAGGCTGACGGCAGTGTCCCCTCAGGCACACAGAGGAGCACTGCTGCTCCCCCGCAGGTCGGAGGCCGAGATCTGCCTTTCCCGAGCTCCTCCCAGCTCTCCGCAGAGCCCGCCTGGCACCGCAGCGGTGCCCCCGGAACTGGTGTGGTCATTCCCCCGACTCCCTGAACTGCAGCCGTTTGTTCACGGGTTTCACCTATTACATATCTTACTTCCTGTAGAATGGGAGGAACAGAATCACATCCCCTCCGGAACGATATTGAAGACCTTCGTCTCAGGCGGTGAAAACGGGCCCTGGATGAGATTTATGCGAGGAGAGATGACAGTAGAGACTTTCTTACCAGAATTTGGGAGACTCTGCTCTGAAACTGTGAGTGATAAACATACTTGAATTTCCATAATTCTTCTTGCCTAAGACTCATCCATATTTATTAAACTGCAAATAAAGAAGTGAAAATCTAATCATTATAAATTTTAAGCTATTTCTTCCATCCCCAGGCACCCAACTTCAACTGCACATATGAGCAAGTAAAAATATTCCGTTACTAAGCCTCCCATCAGCTATTGTTCATCTGAAACAGGAGCTGTCTGCATGACAGCTTTGATCGGAAAGCTTACTTAAGCAATCACGATGTTGAGCCTTTTCTCCGCACTGTGTGTTTTTCTAAGGCCTTTATATGAACTCATGTGACCTCCACAGCAGCTACTAAAGTGTAATGAGAACACAGTGAATAAAGCCCTGTGGATGGACGGTAGAGATGGCCGCACAGCAACGACTGCCCTCGGTGACACTCAAGCATACACATGACGTGGTTAAAAGGGTCAAGTTTATGTTATGTGTATTCTACCACGATCGTACATATGTACATATGTATACCTTTGAAAACATGACGCTAAGCCAAAACAAAGCCAGTCAAAAAAGACCACAGACTGTGTGATTCCATTTATATGAACTGCCCCAAAGAGGTACATCAGTAAGACACAGACAGTGGATTAGTGGTTTGCTTGGACTGGGAGTATTGGGAGTGTGGGGGAGGGAATGGGGAGGGACTGCTGATGGGTGAGGGCTTTCTTTTTGGGATGACGACAATGTTCTAAATATGACTGGGGTGATGGTTGTACAACTTCGTGAGTATATTAAAAGCCATTGGATTGTATGGTTTAAATGGATGAGTTGTATGGTATGTGAATTGTATTTCATTGAAGGTATTGTAAAATGTGTGTATAAAAAAGCAGCCTTGCCTTTGCAGATTTTAAAGCATGATAAGAGTTTTCAAATCCCACACAGATTGAATTAAAAAAAAAATTGATCAGAAACTGAAGTTCATAACGGTGATGCTGAGGCAACACAAAATCACTAAATGTCTTCTGGATCACTAAAAATTCAGTTACATCTACTTAATACACTTTTAGAGTTTAATGTATCCTCTTTTGGTATCCGCTACTTTTTAAAATTGACAACCCGTGAGTGAAATAAGGAACTCCTTTAACTGGAATACTGACATAAAGAGCTCCATTCCCTAGCCATTGTAACTCTAAGTCACTTTTTTGTCATCTTATGTGCAAAGCTCTGCAGGTGGCTGAGGGAGAGGATTCCCTTAGGCAGCAAGCCAAAGGCCCCGCTTTTACAGCCAGGTAGCGGCAGGAAGCTGGGAATATGTCTGTGTCTTTTCCTCTGTTGGTGATTTTACTCTGAATGCTTGCTTGCTCTCCCCTCCCTCCCCCATTCTCAGTCAGAGACCTGTGTGTCCATGGGCTCCTTTTTCTCTCTGCTGACCAGTGAGCAAGTGGCGAAGCCGTTCCCAGTGATGACTGAGGCCATAACTCAAATTCGGGCAAAAGGACTTAAGACTGCAGTCTTGAGCAATAATTTCTATCTTTCCAATGGCCAAAGCTTTTTGCCCCTGGACCGGAAGCAGTTTGATGTGGTAAGTCTGAAGTGATCCAAAACAATAATCAAAACAGTGTGTTCTTGCTGCAGGACGCAACGTTTACCGCTGCCTCGTAGCGGGTCTTGAGTGGTGGGTAATTTTATTCAGACACTTGACCAAGTTAGGCTGAGACATAGCAGTTTGAAAAGAGGACTTTTAAATTATCACTGAGTTCTTGGCAAAGTCACACGTTTGTGGGATTCGGTAAGTGGGTGAAGCCTCAGCTTTAGAGACTTCCTTACACTCTGGGTATGAACCGTAGTCGTTACATAACTCACACCTCCGTCAGCCTCTTAATGCGCCCTTTGACCTTTCCTTTCAAAGACCAACCGCGTTGCCCTGTGTTTCTGTGGCACCGGTTCTTGGACCAGCGCCGCCCAGTACAGCCAATTCCAGTAAGAGGGATGTCTGACATGGCGCTGCTGGTCACACATGGATATTAAGCACTTGCAATGTGTCCAGTGTCACGAAGGAACTGAATTGTATTTCCTCTTAATTAGTTTTAATGTAAGTAATCCCACGTGGCTAGTGGCTGTTGTAATACACAGTGCACGCAGCACTAGACTATCACAGTGCCAGGAGGTTATATCTATGAAGGATTCCCCATCTCCCTGAGAGAAGATAGGTCGTTATCTTGGGATGGATATAAATTATTGATAGATGAATTGCTTAAACCGAAAACCGATTCTTACTGAGCAGTTACTATGTGCTGGGCACTGGCTGTGCGTGAAGGGACACTGTGCTCAACCTGACAGCCACCATCCCCACCCTCTGGAATACACACTTACTGCATTTCAAGTGCTCAGTCACCACCTGAGGCCAGTGGTTACTATACTGGAGAGACAGCATTTCCATCCCTGTGGAAAGTTCTGTTGGATCGCGCTATTTTAGAACATACAATCCAGTCGAATTGACAGGCAGAAATTCAGAACACAGGTGTTGGAAGTGAACCTCCCCACCTAATGCTGCTTCCACCTTCTACCCCCTCCCCCTCCTTGGAAGAGGGCCGGCAGAGGCAGAGCTCTCTGCCCTCTGGACACTTCGCCTGGCTCCTCACCTGCTCTGACTGCTGGTTCCCCCACTCGTCCACAGTGCGGCCCTCCTCCAAGCTCCGTTCCCTGTGAGTGCTCAGGGACCTCGTCCAGAATCCAGTCCTGTCTCTGCCACCTCAGTTTTCTCACCTGTAATGTAGGAAGAGCGATTTCTTTGTGGTAGGGTAGCGGTGCAGATCCCAGGAGACAATGCATGCAAAGCACTTGGCACAGTGCCTGGCACACAGTAAGTCCTCAGCACAGAGATTCGTTCCACCAAGTGTGGCTATAGGGATGGTACCTGCATCTGGACAAGTTAAGTTGGCCAGGCTCACATTGGGCTCTTCCACTGGAAGCTACAATTTGAAAGATCTGTGAACTAACTTAAAACAGTGGACCTGTTTGTTCAGACATCACAGGCCCCCTGGCATGTGCTTCCCAGCTGTTTTTTGGCCGGTTTTCATATTTCAGGTCTGTAGGACACTTGGAGTTTTGAAAATCCATGTCCTCAAGAATAAGGTGTTTGTTCTCCAAAGCTATAAGGCAGGAGAAAATTTTTTTGATAGAGGTAAAGAGGTAGGGTAACCTTTCTATGATGTCTGTCGATGCTGGAGGCTGTTCCTGAACCCTTCAACCAATATTATAGGAACGTGTCTCTGCTGAGATGCATGTGACTTTTGAAAAAAAAAAAATGTCCTCTAGCTCTGGCCGACGTGGCTCAGTTAGTTGGAGTGCTGGGTGAAAGGTCGTGGATTCGACTCCTGTTCAGGGCACATACCTAGGAGTACGTGTGGGCTCCTGGGCTGTGGGCTCGCCCAGATTGCGTGTTTGGCCGCATACGGGAGGCAGCCGTTTGATGTTTCCCTCATAGCTTTGCTTCTCTCTCTCCCTGCTTCCTCTCTCTCTAAAGAGAAAAAGGTCAATAAAAATATTTTTAAAATGTCATCTAATTTTCTACATTACTTCTTATTGTAAAAGAACACATTACATAAAATTCACCATCTTAACTATTTTTAAGTGTATACTTCAGTAGTGTTCAGTGTATTCACATTGTTGCAAAACAAATCAGAACTTCTTTATCCTGTAAGGTAGAACAGAAAGAGAAGAGGAGGGATTTCATCAAACTTAAATCTTAAGATGTTTTTTACTTTGCCCCAAACAGAACTACGCATGAGAAGAGATGTCTGCTTGTCCGAACTCGGCCCCGTTGCCCTGGGCTCTGTGCCCTCTCTTCTCCTGTCTCAGCCAGTACCGCTGTGTGGCTTCCCTGCAGCATGATACGTTGATAGGTGTCTGAAACACCTGGTTTCTCTGCTGCCTACTACTGACGATTTCTTTAGAAGGGGCTTCTTTGTCTTTTTAGCTCAACCAGGTCCTTAGGAGACCAGGAAGAGAGGTCCCATTTACTCAGGACATTTATTTACCAGAAAGGGTAGTTCTCGGCCAACCTTCAGTAATGCCACTGTGGAGCAGAGGGAGGGGTCCTCAGGTTTGTGTCCTTGGACTTGGAGAGTGTGGGTCATTCCAGAAGTGAGTCAGGGATTTATTTCTATTCTTAGGGCAGGCCAGAGGCTATTGGTGGTAGGCCTCTGTGGCCATCTGAGGCCCACTTTGTAGGAGATTCAGCCCGGGGGACAGTGTAAGGGGACTCCCAGCAGGGTGCTGGGTCAGAGAGAGCCTGGCACTGAGACGGCTTTTTCCGGGGTCTCCTGAACTCTCAGCAGCTACGCTGGTCCCAGGTTAGATACACAATTGAAGCGAGGCTGTCAGGATGCAGGAGGCTCTTTACAAGAAAGCAAGTGCCTTTGCCGCTGATGGTCTCTTTGGTGTCAGCCCTCTGTGGGATTTATCCGTATAAATTGAGTATGGCTGTTTTTTAACTTCTGAAGTGTGAACATTAAAGGCCTGGGTCTTTTGCAACAGTAAACAGTGCCTTCTTTCTGGAAAAACGGTGAAATACTTTCCCTAAAACTGAAACATACAACTTTCCTTCTGCTCAGTGTAGGCACAAAATCTAACATTAGCAAAATGCTTTGTCATTTTGGAACTCATTCAAGTTTCCTTAAGTTTCGCAACAGCCGCTAGGACAGGTGAGATGGCTGTCAGTTCTCCCACTTCACTGATGGTGAAACTGAGGCCCATCGCGGCCCCGCTGTCTGCACGAGGTCACTGTGTCTGAACCAGAGCCTCAGTTTTCCAAGTCGGCCCCCAGGTTTAATCCAAAATGTTCAAATCAGTCAGTTTTAAAAAGCAATGGCATTTTCTATCAAAATAGTCTCAAGTTACTTGTTCTAACAAATCTCAGCTGTCTTCCCTCTGTTCTTTAGAAAAAATACAGCAGCGTGTGTGTGTGTGTGTGTGTGTGTGTGTGTGTGGGAGCACCACTTTCAGGGCCATTTCTCTCTCATTCCCGCCCTGCCCTCAGGTCGTGGAGTCCTGTCTGGAAGGTGTCTGCAAGCCGGACCCCAGGATATACAAGCTGTGCTTGGAGCGGCTCGGCCTGCAGCCTTCTGAGTCCATCTTTCTCGATGACCTTGAGGAGAATCTCAAAGCAGCTGCCAGCCTGGGTATGCGCACCATCAAGGTGAGGGTCACTGCCCCCTGAAGCCCCGCTGTGCTCCAGACACTCGTGCAAGCGTCTCCGTGCTGTCCTCTTACATTCATAGTGGTGGCTGTCTGGAGTGGTCTCCCTGTGTTGCCGGAGCCTGTTTGTTTTTTAATTCTGCAATCTGTGTGGCTGGCTGCTTGCATTTCTAATGGGGAGTAAGACAAACGCATACTGAGAAGGCGGTTTGAGGAGAGGCACGCAGCAGGCAAGGGGCAGGCTGCAGACGTTTGGGATGGCAGTCACGGGCCGTCCTGCCGACGCTCTTCTGGGTGGGGAGCCAGCAGCCACCTGCCCCACAGTCCAGCCCAGGGTGTGGCTGAGAAGCTCGAGAAGCCATGGGAGGGGGTTCTCGGTCCAGCTTCCCACCACTGAGTTTCCCTTTGAAGCCGACGGGCTCACAGAGACAGAGTGGGTGCTGCAGCACAGTCTCCTTGCCTCCTGGCACAAGGGAGGATCGCGGACTCTCACCCGGAGCTGCCCCGCAGACAGAAGGTTTAATGTGTTTTGGAATTAAACGGGAAGAGGAAACCCGTTCGATGGCTTCCTCATTAACTGAATATCCTGACTTCAGAGTCGTAGCCCAGACGACTGAGTTCTTGGATGTTTCCTTTTGAAAGTTACCATCTTAGAGAACTTAGAGAACAGACAGGAGGAAAGGTCGAGGATGACTGGTAGCCTGTTCAATATTTTCTTTGAAACCAGGTTAATGACCCAGAGGCTGCAGTAAAGGAATTAGAAACTCTCTTGGGCTTTACCTTGAGAACAGTTGTTCCAAACACTCGCCCTGTGAGAAACACAATGGAAATTCCCAAAGATTCCTTGGAGAAGTACCTCAAGGACGTGCTGGGGACCCAAACCACAGGTATTTGAGTTCTTGTATTTTGGTAACTCCTTCCAAGGTCAGGCTTTCGGGCTGGTTCTCACTTGCAGAGCAACCGGAGTGCGATGCGCCGGAGCCAAAGAGGCAGCCTGGTGAGGGGAACGGCCCCTGGGCCCGCGGGTCTCCATGCTGCCTCTAGCTCTGCTTGGGCGGAAGCACTCGCCTCCGTTTCCGTGCACCCTCTGAACGACGCCTGCCCGCCGTCCACGGGGCGCGAGGCGAGGCCTGCAGACAGCTGTCAGGGAGAAGAGGGATGGGGGAGCTGCAGAATGTGCCTGGGGGGCTGGAGGGTTCTGGGGTTTTTTCTCGAGGTCACAGCTTGTTTGTAAAGGTGACTGAGAAGTTACATAATGTAAAATGTGACAGGTTGTCTGTGCCTCTTCAGAAGTCCCACCTTCTTCACGTCCCACCCTCAGAAAGACAGGGGCCTCGTGAGCTTCTGAAGACATTTCCGCCTGGTGACAAAGGTCCGCCTCACCCGGCTGGTCTCCACACTACGATGTGTCCCAGTGACTGGCGCGTTCTCAGCGCCTCTGCAGGTGGGGGGGCCCTTGCTCCCCCGCAGGTGCTCACCAGGCCTGACCCTGCCGAGCCCCTGAGATCAGATGAGAGCCGGCATGTTCAGGTGGTGTCGCCATAGGTGGAGGGGCCCCTTCTGACCGAGCCGGATAAGTCGGGCAAACCACCATTTCTGGCTCTTCGGATCAAATGAAACAAATCTGTGTCCAGAGTTCAGTCTTGTTAGGGAGCTGAGGGCTAATTAGGATGTCTCTGCGAGAGAGACAAAGAGTTCAGCCTGCTGGGGTGGGAAACCGCATCTCATGAAAGCAGCCTTGGCTCCGGCGGTAGGCCGCTGCCCGCTCCTTTCAGCTGTCACCCCGGCGTCAGGCGTGGTTTGGCTGAGCTCGGGCTGAGGGACACACAAGGGAACTGTTCATCCTCGGGCTTAAAGCGTTCCGGTTAGCAAGATGGGTTGCCATGACTGTGCTTGTGATGGACAAACAAAACTCAGAAGCTCCTCTTCAGAGACTAGGAGTTGGCGAGAAGGACAAAATCGGACACCATGCAAGTGGGAGTATCATTGTGGTGTAAATCCAGTGGCCTTGCCACAGTGGAGCGGCACGTGACTCTGGACCAAGCTGGTGGAGCGTGGTGCCAGTCCTACACAGTGTCACCCCAAATGCTGAACTCGCTGGGAAAAAAGGTCTTTCCAGGTCTGTCCTTCAGAGTGGGTTTGAGTTTTCTTTGTTTTCCAACTTGCAGGCCCACTGGAGCTCCTTCAGTTTGACCACGGGCAGTCAAACCCAACTTACTACCTCAGGCTGGCCAGCCGGCAGCTGGCTCTGAGGAAGGAACCCCCGGGGACACTGCCCCCGGCTGCCCCCGCGGTGGGGAGGGAATTCAGGTGAGCTCGAGAGGGCCCGTTTGGCCTCTGGGGCTCGGCCCCTGAGCTGGCACGTCAGTGCTCCATTAAATGCCTTGAGACACTTAAAACGACACATGTGACTCTCCAAAGGTACGTCAAGTAAGAACATGTAAACTAATTTTATTCATAAGTTTGTTTTCTATACCAAAACCTGTGGGAGACTAGACATTTTTAGAATTTCTAGATGAAAAAAAGGCATTATTGAGATACTCTTTAGTCTTACCCTTCAGTCTTAAAGACTCTAAGACCTTAGGTCTTAAAATCAATATGTATTTTTAAAATATTTTATTTATTTTTAGGGAGGGGAAGGGAGGAAGGGAGAGAGGGAAGGAAACATTGATTGGTTGCCTCTCACACACGCTCCAGCCGGGGATCAGACCCACTACCCAGGCATGTGCCTTGACCAGGAATCAAACCAGCGACCTCTCTCTCCACAGGACGATGCTCAGCCAACTGGGCCACGTGGGTCAGGGCAGAATCAATATATTGACGGGGCTACGGCCCAACAGTTGTGGCCATGAATGGGTGACGAGTACATGGGGCTTTCTAATACAAATGTCTCTACTTATATATGTTTGAAATGTTCCATAATAGAATGTTTAAAAGAATAAATGTGTTACAACTCATCCCAAATAAAATCGCTTGCTTTGCAAACAGAAAAATGTAAACATAGTGGATTTAAACAAAACTACCTCCGAATCTCTTGGAGAATGAGTTCTGGAGACATGCATGGGCTCCAGGGTGGGGCCTGCATTCCTGGAAGACTTCCTCCTCCTCCTTCTAGGCCACCTTGCTCTGCAGAAGGAAAGCTGCAGATAGTAGGGAGGGCAGTGCGATTTTGGCTCCAGGGTCCTTCTCATTCTTTCTGTTTACTGTCTCTGCTCCGGGCTTTTTGGTTTCTTGAAATCTGACCTCCACAAATGTTGCAGGGGCTGATGACTGACAATTACGAAGCCTCGGAGGTTCGACAGAAGAGAAAACCTATAGCTTTTTCTGAGAATTTGTGTATGTGTCACGCAGAAGCGGTGTGTATTTATAGAAGAGAGACCCTAAAACATAAAACCACCGCTCTGCCTCATGCATCCGGCCTGCGAGCCGCCTGTAATCATTCCCCGAGGCACAGGCATTCTGGAGTGCTGAGTGATATTCCACAACTCCTGGAATGCACAGCATTTCCCTGTTAGTAAAGGAATAAAGTGTACATTTGAAAGTGAAACCTAATATGGTATCTGCTTATAAAATGCCAAATGCAAATTTGAACAACTGTTTTGGAAAACAGTGTGGCACAATTTATTAAAAACCTCAGAGCAGTCATACTTTCAGACCTAATAATTCCAGTTAGGAGGTCTCTCTTTAAAAAATAATTCTAAAGAGGGGAAAAAAGCTGTATGCATGAATATGCTCACCACAGTGTTGTTTATAGTGAAAAATTGGAAACACCCTGAAGTTACAATGATTGGGAAGTGTTTATGTAAACCTTGGGAGATCTACTTGTGGCAAGGACAATAATAGTACTAGCTAACATTTACTAAGTGTCACTGTGTGCTGGGCACTACAATGAATGCTTTGCATTGTTAACTTGAAGCATTTTCACAGGTCCATGGTACGCTGCTACTGTGACCCCCACTTTACAGATGAGGAGAGTGGGCTTAAAGAGGTGTGTGAGTGGTGGGGTGTGGCTTAATGCCCATAGGCGGTGGGATTCCACAGCCCAGCCTTAATACTATCATTGCAGCCAATAACAGTATGCCTGTAATAACATAAAAATGTGTGTGGTGAAATTTTAATGTAATACAAACAGATACAAGCCATATATAGAGTATTACTATCTTAACTATTTTTTTAAGACTTATGCATGGAAACAAAAATTAAGGAAAGGAACAAACCACAGTGTTTGCCCGGTCATGTCTAGGTAGCATGTCAGTAGTATTCTTCAGTTGCATGTGACAGAAGCCCACCTACTGACTTAAGCATAAAAATAAGAAGGGAAGGTGGTAAAATGTATTAGCTTTATCATTTAAATCTTGCAGGCATGGCTGGATCCAGGGCTCCAAATAATGTCACCAGGACCCATTCATTCTCTCTCTCCATCTCTTAACTTTCCTAGGTAACCAGGATCTTTCCAGCATGCCCCCTGAGACTGACCCATTTGCCCAGTATGGGTCACAGGTTTGGCCCTGAACAAACCGGTCTCTGCAGTCAGGAGGGTGTTCTGCTCAGATTGGCCATCTCTGGGTTTTATGCCCACTCCTGGAACCAGGGGTGGGGTCAGCCAGTCCCCCCAAACCAGGAGGACCTATAGTGGGGGACAGCTGCTCCCCAAAGGAAAATCTGGGTCTTCTGATCAAAGTGGTGATGTGGTGAAAGGAAACCAGGCAATCAAAAGAAGCAGCGAGTTACTGGTGATAAGATTATTTTCCTGTTTAAAAATTTTAAAAGTTTCGTCCTTACATATTTCAGAGAATTTACCAGTAAAGCCACTGGGGCCTGGAGTTTTCTTTAAGAAAAGGTTTTTGACAATGAATTTAGCTTAATAAATATTAGAGTTTTAAAATATTTCTTAATTTCTCTTAAGTCCTTCTTTGGCCCATGGCTAATATGAAAGTATTACTTAATTTCCAAATACTTGGGCTCTCTTCCTGATTATGAATGTATTTATACCAGCTTTCTTATGCTTACCGGTTGCATGGTACTTCCCTTTCCATCCATTTTCTCTTACCTTTTTTCTATCTTTGTTTTTATATTTAAAGTTTGTCTCTTATGAACAGCACATAGAGCATACTTTTCTATCCAGTGTGACAATTTCTGTCTTCTAATTGGAACGTTTAGTGTATTCAACTTAATGTAACTATTGAGATGTTTGATGGTGGTCTATAATTTCACTATTTCTTTTTTGTTTGTTTCATCCATTTTTTGTTCCTGTCTGCTTTTGGGTCAATTGAATATTTTTTAGAATTACATTTTCATTTCTGCACATACTAATTTTTAAATCAGAAAAATAATCATATGCAAGCCTCATCATCAGTCCTGGCCATGTAGCTCAGTTAGTTAGAGCGTCATCCCGAGACACCAAGGTTATGGGTTCGATCCCTGGTCAGGGCACGTGCAAGAAGCATCCAATGAATGAGTATGTAAATGGAGCAGCAAGTCTACATTTTTCTCTCTGTCTCTAAAAATCAGTTAACTAAAAAAAGAAGAAGAAGGGAAGTCTCACCAGTTCACCCAGCAGTGACGCTCATCTCCCTTTGTTCTGGCAGGATAATGAAAGCCCTGGCGAACGCTGGAGTGCCTGTCCCCAGAGTTCTCGACTTCTGTGAGGATTCAAGGTAATGTTCAGGTTGATTTGTTCCCTTGAACATTCGCTGCAGAAGAGACGGTAACACACTAAGTCAGATTCCAGGCTGTCACAGTGAGGACAAATTTGGGTGGCAGAGAAGAGAGACTGTACAGCGACCCCTTGGAAGCTCACAGGTCTTTCAGTTATCCTGAGCGAGAAAGAAATGCCCGCTTTTATGAGAGTTGATAGAAAACATCTTTCTTAACATTATAAAAATATATGTCCTTCTAGTTTATGTTGTTTTTGTTTGTTTTATTATAGGCTTTCTGAACTTTTAAACTGCTTTGTAACATGCTTTTTGAGTTTGTCCCTTTTCCCTAACTTTTTAATTGTGAAAATTGTGAAACATACAATTGTGTGTTTGTACAATTGAAACATACAATTGTGTTTCACAATTGATTGTGAAATCAGGGGAAGTTATAATAATGGTAGATGTTTCAAAACAACTTTTTAGAGTAGTGAACTGATTTCTAATAATGAGCAAAAGATAACATTTCAGTGTGCCACCTTAATTCTGTAGGGTGGTATCTATGCCATGCATACCACTGGATAATGATAAAAATCACATTAAGAAGAATAAGGGATATTTACTGGACCCTCATTGGAAGTGCCGGACACATATGCCAGGCACTTCATATACATTTGCTCTCTCAATTCTTACAGCTGCCCTTTGACATTTTACAGATTAAAAACAAAAACCAAGCTCAGAGAGGCTTAGTGACTCTCACGATCACACTGCTGGGAAGGGGTGGGAGTTCTCTCTGACTCCACAGCCAGCTCTCTCAACCTGCTGCTTTCCTGTGTCCTCCACCTTAAACCCGCTCCAATGGCTTCCACCCCTGGACCAAAGGAAAGAGAAGGGAGCATGTTGGCCAAGAGTACGGACAGGGCCGTGTGGGCGTAAACTGGTTTGGGTGGAGTGCTTCTAACCCCTCGTGCTCACGTGCAAAGGAGAAGGGAAATGTCCAGCACTCTGGGTCCGAATCCTCCCCCGGCACCCGCAGGGCCCACACAGGATGGAAAGGGCGGTGCCGTGACCAGCAGCCCGCCACACTGCAGGCCCTGGAAACACCCTGACTGTGTCTGCCCCTCGCAGGATCATCGGCACACCCTTCTACCTGATGGAGTACTGCCCAGGCCTCGTCTACAAGGACCCCACTCTGCCAGGCTTGGAGCCCAGCCAGAGGCGGGCCGTGTACACGGCCATGAACAGAGTCCTGTGCAGAATCCACAGTGTGGACTTCCAGGCTGCGGGCCTAGAGGACTACGGGAAACAGGGTGAGCACAAGGCCGCTCGTCTTCCGTGCTGAACGTTTCCTCGCTGTTGCCTCTGCTCCGGGATTTGTGTGGTGTCAGGGTGTGAATGCACCAGGCGGCTGCTAGACCTGAGGTGGGCTTATTCACTTTCTCCTGGGAAATCCAGTGTCATGCTAATGTGGATGTCACTCACCGGAACATTCTGTCCTGGGATCAGTCCCTTCGTGGAGTCAGAATCCCTCTTCCCTGCAATTTCTGTCTCACTAGATCATTTAAATGTCTTTTTTCTTGACACTGGCCAAGGTCATTTAAGACACTTTCTTCTCTGTTTTTCATCCTTTCCCTTAAGTGTTCTTTCAGCAGAGACAGATTTTTAAAATGCCATTATGCCAAGGTGTTTTGTTTGTGTAGTTTCTGCTTTTTTTTTTTTAATGTCCGAGAGGTCCGATTGCTCCTCATCCTCGCCAGCATTTTTTATTGTCAGTTTTTTTAAGTCAGGTGTGTTGAACCATAGCATCCTGTGAATCTTGACAAGTGCACAGTTTTAGAACCACGACCACAACTGTCTGCATGCTTTTGCATGCAGAAACGCCTCCACGAGCCAGAGTCTCACTTTTTCTACCCTGCAAAGCCCAAGAGTATCTGACCAGTATAGATTCCTGACCATGGTCCAAAGCATCTGTCAGCTAAGCTATATTTTCCTTTTTTTTCTGCTTTTAACCAAAGCATGCCTGGTTTTCTATAGGACTGTATCAGAGGCTGCAATATGTGTCCAAAGTGCATCAACTTCCTAACATATTTCTGCCAAGTTATTCAGGTTCCACCACTGCACACGCGCATGATCTGGGTCTCCAGCACTAGTAGTTTAGTTACTTTGTTACAACAGAGGAGGCCTGCTAAACTCACATGCAAATTGGGGGGGTTCCTCACCGCCTCGCTCCTTCCAAGTCCAGCCAGATCCATATCGTCCCCCATATTCTAACCTGTGGACCAGAGGTACACATTCAGTGGGGGTGCCCCTCCATCTTGGTGGCCTCATTGGGAAATATGTATTCATAGTTCATCTTGAAGTTCAAATGCAGGTGGGCATCCTGTATTTTGTCTGGCAGCCCTAGTTACCAGGGACAGGGCCCAGGCAAAGACAATAGATGTCACCAGTATTGATCCATTGTTTCAGATGAAAAGAGCATCAGACCAGAAGTTAGATGCTAATTTGTTGGGTGGCCTTAGACAAGTCACATCACTTTGTCACAGTTTTCTCAATAGCAAAGGTTTGGTAAGAATATACATAAAGAATAATAATAATAATAAAAACGCAGCCCTGCCTGCCTCCCTCAGAGGGCTGATGTGAAAAGCAAATGAGGTGGCAGCTGTCCCAGTGCTTGGAATGAAGGCCCGGCCTCAGGTGGATGAAGTGATGGGCCTGTGACAGCGCACCGTGGAGAGAGCAACTTAAGGAAGGCTCTCCTGAGTGCCGGGCGAAGTCTTTGTCTTTTATTTTTAAGCAAGACTGTTTTGATGCTCTTGACACTGACCTATGACTCTTGATACTGAAGAGACAAAGCAGTAATCTGACTGATTTCACGTGGCCGGGGCCTGCCGCCCGGGCCGCTGGCTGTGCGTGAGCCTGACAGCACAAAGCAGGGTCATCGCAGAGCAGATCCACTGACCCGGCCTCGGGGGCATCAGCTCTTCCTTTCCAAGAACTCTGCAGTTTCTCAAATTTTACCAAGAACCCGCTGCTGGGCAGGACACTGGCTATATGTACGCAAATATACTACCATTCATATAAAAGAGGGTGTGTTTGAACAAATGTAAATGTTTGTACGTAGAAGTGAAGAATCTCTCTAAAATGACACTTAAGAAACTGGTCACGTAGGTTACCTTTGGGGAAAAAGAATTGCAAGGGACAGGAGAAAGACTTCACTGCATTCCCTTTTGTCATTTTAATTTTGAGCCTGTGAATAAATTTGTTTTAAAAAGTACACAATCATGATTTCTAATCCAAAGGAACTTTTGACAAAGATCTGTTGGGCACAGTCTAGTTATTACAAAGCTCTTTTCCACCGAGGACCAGCAGGGAGCCCATCATTCCCTTTTCTCGGCCCAGAGGGGCAGGCTGCTTTGGAGGGAAGGGCGCCTGGGTGCCTGGGCAGGAGGCCTGCTGGGGACCAGCAGAGCCAGGGACACAGGGACGGGGCACCCGCTTCCCGGGAGGAGGGAGTGTGTGCGGCGCTGGGTTGGGGTGTAGGGACTGCGGGTGGGTCCTGGAGGGGCTGCTTCCACAGCGGCTCAGCTCCTGCGGTTCTGTATTCCCCTTAATATGGTCCTTTGCAAACTTACAGAAATGTGAAATAGTACAAGGAATAGCTATACAGGGAGGGGCAGAAGGAGGTTTACAGTTAGAGTATGCAAAACACCGAGTTTATTCTTAGGTGTTAATTATTGTTTATTTTCCATACGAACAGCTGTAAACCCACTTTTGCCCCACTCTGTATGCACCCACTGCTAATTTTAACAATGGTTAACTTCTGCCATAGTGTTTATCTGTCTGTTTAAATATGCGTGTATGTTTATGATTAGCGAAGTTGTAGAGACCCTAATACTTCATTTCTAAATATTTCAGTATGCATTTCCTTTAACAGGGATGTGCCTCAGGACCACTATCACATCTGAGAAAATGCACCATTCTCCCAGAATAGCTAAAACCCAGTGCACATTCACATTTTCTCATTATCACCCTCATATCCTCTAAGTGAGGGTTTTCCCCAAATCAGGGTCCAGTTAAGGCATGCAGCACGGCCCCTCCCACGTGCCCTCTCGTGGAGTCGTCCTGATTATTTCCTCATGGTTTCATTTACTGCTGTCTTCTCTTTCCTGTGACTCTGCAAGCTGGAAGTTAGTTCTAAAGGCTTGGTTCGTTTCGGGTTAAACTCCTGTGGCTTCGGACCTTCGCCCCTCCCGGCCCAGCTGGATGCTCTGCCGGGCAGGTGTCCAGACGCTCTGAGCCTGCAGTGGACTCCACAGAAGGAGCATGATCTCTCCGTCCCCGTCTTTAGTTTCTGGGGACCATTTTTTTCTCAGATGAGGGGGACCTGACACATTATCATTGGTTATAATAATGGTGATAATCAGTAATTGGCAGTTGACAAAAACGGTGACAGTAATCATGCCCACCATTCACTGAGCGTCTATGTGTGCCAGCTCTGTATTTGTGGGCACGTCACACAGGGATTTCGTGTAGCCTTCACGACAGTCCTACAGAAATTAGTATCAGTACACGATACAGAGGAAGCAAGGGAGGGAGACTCAGAGAAGTTAAATCAACTGAAGACCTTGACTGGGAGCCAGGTTAACTCCAGAATTCCTTTCGGTCTCAGATGGAACTTGCAAGTTCCTCAACTGTTGTATCCCTTGGGTTCCCTACCAAACCACCAAATAAAAATAGCAAATCCTGGTGTAGTACTTACTGCATGCTGGGGACAGTGTCAGGGGCTGTCCATGTGCTGTCCTCCCAGCAACACGTGAGGACCATCTCACTGGTCAGGGCAAACCGAGGCACACAGAGAGAATGGCAGAGCTGGGATCAGATCCAGGCAGTCTGGCCACAGTGTCCACGCTTTTAGCCAACCACTGTTTGGCCAAAAAGGGATTTCCTAAAGGCTGTTAGGGAGCTCATAGGACCTCAGAGAGGAACAGGGATCAGGCTTGGAGGCCACGTGGCTGGGAACGAGGCCCAGACCACACTGATCCAGCCAAGGCAAAACGCAGCAGCAGCAGCAGCCTGTGGGAAATGCCCAATCAGAGGACAAGGATGCTACAGAGCATTGCAGGGGGTTTCAGAGCCCTGGCTGAGTTCCGAAACCTCTGGACGCTGTTGGAATGGCACACCGTGCTCTAACCCTCTTCCTCCAGGGGACTGTATCACACGCCAGGTGCGAACCTGCATCGAGCAGTATCGGGCCTCAGAAACCAGCACCATCCTGGCGATGGAGCGGCTCATCAAGTGGCTGCCGCTTCATCTTCCTAGTCAACAGAAGATCACGGTGGTGCACGGGGACTTCAGGTAGTTATGAGGAGGGGGGACTCCGAAAGTGTGAAAAATGATGGGAAGGGCATCTTAAAGGGGAAATGAAGCAGCTGGTCTTGGCCCAGTTTACAGCTGTGACTTATCCCTGTTACAGAGGGTCTCCCTGCACGAGCCTTTTAAGGCCAGGTTTCTCAGCCTTGGCTCCACAAACAGGCCTTTGGGTTGGGGGTTGTCCTGTGCAGCCACGGGTGTCATTACCACACCTAGGTCTGAAGGGGCCAGTGTGCGCTCCAGTTGTTATTGCCACATAACCAACCCCTCCAAAACCGTGTGGCTGTAAACAATAATGACAGCAGGATTTTTGCTCAGCAATTTGCAATCTGGGGACAGGAGGGCTTGTTTCAACTGGGTGGCTGGCTCTCAGGCTGGGGGCTGGGACCACCCAAGGGCCCACTTTCATGCCCGGCACTGGGGCACAGGAGATGTGAACAGCTAGACTCCTCGGGCCCCTCTCTCTGCCTCTTTGTGGTTCCCACATGGTCTGTCCAATGTGGCAGCTTCGGGCTAGCTGGACTTCCTACCTGGGGGCTCAGGGCTGCAAAGGTGTGTGTTCTGAGAGAGAGGGCTGGGCAGGAGCTGATGACCGAATCTCAGGTGTCACTCAGCATCACTTCCATCTGCAGTAGGCGAGGTCTGTCCAGAAAGTATCCAGCTGTGTACTATGAAAAGTAGAAACATTTATTGAAGAAAATACAAGAGACATTGTACATAGAACAATGATGCCTCAGTCTCCTTCAAAGTAGGCACCCCGGGACCTCACACAGTTCTCCTAATTGCCATTAGCTGCCCTGTCATATTTTCCTGAATCTCATCAATGGTCTAAAATCTCTTCTCTTTCAAAGGTAATTCTAGTTTGGGGAAAAGTCAGAAGTCACCGGGTGCGACATCTGGGCGGTAGGGCGGCTGAATCACCTGGGTGATTTGTTGTTTCACAAAAAACTCTGCACGAGACGTGATGTATGAGTGGGCGCACTGTCGTGATGAAACTGCCAGTCATCAGTTGCCCACAGCTGCAGCCTTCTAAATCATGCAGATAGTTTCCATGGGGGAATGTCCAAGCTTAACACAAAATCTGATGCAATTTTTTGCTCTACTTGCTCAGTCATTTTGAATGTGACAGCTACACAGTACACATGCTCACTCGAGGGTGTCTACCCCCCACCCACTGACTAGTACGGTGAAGTCATCATTGTTCACGCATGCACATTCCAGTCCACTCTCCTTGGCTTCCAGGTTACATGGATGTTGTGCTAGCTGTTCCCATTATATTAACAATGGCTGGACTTTTTCTGGACAAACCTCATGTTTGTCAGAATCAAGTCACTTCCAGAGGTGACGAATTAGACGCTTCCTTTTGTGGAAGGAGTGTCAAAAGAATTGACGTGCCTGTTTTAAAACCACCACAGGGAAAGAGGAATTACCAGGACCCCGAGAGGTTAGCATATAGTTGGGGACTATCTGACCAAAGCTCTGGCCCTCCAGAGAGGAGTGTAGCCGGCCCTCAGCCGTCTGAGAGGGAGCTGGCCGATGCCTAGTCCCTTCCCATCTCCTGCTGGGGTCCCACTGGCTGAGCCCGGCTGAGCCAGAGGGCAAGGGAGCCAGTGCATACGGCCACAGCCCCTGCAGCCCAGGCTCCAGGGACACAGAGGGGCCAGGGGGGGCAGGATACATCTGGAGGAGCAAATGGAAGGTGCCCAGCACAGAGCACACTTAGTGGTCAGTTTTCTTAGGGCTCTCTCTCTGTACTTTCTGTGGCCTGTTCAGGCTGGACAACCTGCTGTTCCATCCAGAAAAGACCGAGGTGCTTGCTGTCTTCGACTGGGGACTTTCTACCTTGGGTGACCCCCTGGTGGATGTGGCCCACAGCTGCATGGCTCACTACCTGCCACCCGAGTTTCCCACACGGCCAGGTAGGGACTGCTGATGGGGAGAGGGAGGGGAGGGCTGAGCCAGCTCCGTTCTCACGGCGTTTGGGCAGACTCGGGGGAAGCAGCTGTGACTGGGCCGGTGGTTTGGGTAGAAAAGCGTTTGGGATTCATCCCTGTCACAGCGAAGGGAAGTGGGTGGAGGGGCATTTGAAGTGAGAAGGATATGCATATAGGCACCTCTTGTGCTTTTACACAACTAATTTCTATTTAATTTCTTAAAAGTACAGGTTTATTTAAAGATTTTAAGAACCAGCAGGTAACAAAGAGTTAAAATCATCAATAATCCCAGAGATAACCACTGCCAACCTTGTCATCTTTTTTTCCTGTGTATATACACACATTTGTCTAATGAAAATGTCATTATATCATTTCATGATCTGGATTTTTTTCACTTAATCATTCACTTTGGACATGTCTTCATGTCAGTAGTTCTTCTTCAGCATCATTTTGAATGACAGCCTAGCATTGATTGTATTGTATAGAGTAAGCTTAATTGAGACATTTGGTTTGATTCCTATTTGAATGTTTAATTTGTTTCAGTTTTTTGTATCTTACCCCTACCCTCACAAAAAAGGCAGAGAACATCTTTGTAGTAATATATTTATAATATATATTTACATATATACTGTATACACACACAGTATATACTCTTAGGATAAATTCCTAGCAATAGAATATATTACATGCTTCTAAATTATGAATATGTTACAAATGAAGCAAATCTGTAAAGTTTTTCATTTGTTGCGATTTTCTTTTTCATAATTTGGTGGGATCTTTCTCTTTAGCATTCTTTATCACGATTGATCGAAAATAACAGCTGTCCACACTGAACTGTTGTCCAAATGGAATTGGAGGCCCCTCATTCCTTCCTTGACGGACAGTTTAGTCTGAAACTTTTAAGAGCCAGTTCAGGAATAATAGCTTGACATCTGGACCCCAGCCATCTGAGGAAGGAAGGGCCTTTGAAATAAGGAGCTAATCCTTTGAACCAGCTGTGAAGCGAACTTCCGATGGGGGAAGAGATTTTCAGAATTTAAATGTTTGTGGCCACAGAGGAGTGTAGGGTCACCGAATGCCCAGGACGGCTCTGTCCCCGCAGGTTTGGGTGGCCGAGATTTGACTCCGCTGGGCATCCCCACTGCAGAGGAGTATTTCCGGATGTACTGCCTTCACATGGGGATTCCTCCCGTCGAGAACTGGAACTTCTACATGGCCTTCTCCTTCTTCCGGGTGGCTGCAGGCGTGCAGGGGGTCCACAAGCGCCCGCTCCCAGGTAACGGGGAGGCCTGAGCCTGCTCCTCCCGCTGGAGACGCCCAGCGGCTTCAGAGGGGTGGGCTCGGCCAGAACCTTCCATTCCATTCATTCAACCCCTTGTCTTTAGGTGTATATCACATAGTTGTATTCTTTAAAATACTTCAACTTTGAAATTATTAAGATAATGTACAAAAATGTTTAAAGTAAAACATATACGATAAGAATTCGATCACGTAGAAGGACATAAAATCATTTCCCTTTCTTCTCAGCACCCTTCCTCAAAGACAAACACTACTGTTAACACATTGTTTGCGGGTAGTTTTCATCATGCGCTCTACTACCAGTCAACGTAAAACGTATAAATACGTTTCCCGCATACAATGTGTTAAGGTTTCTTGGGCCACCCAGTGTTCTCTGTATGTCTGTCTTCTCTCTCCAAGTTTTATAAAAATGTGGTCATCCTACTTCAGTGCCTTGATTTTAAGTTATTTATGTGTAAGAATTCCTATGAAACGTGTATGTTTGTGTGTGTAGGATATGATGTATGTATATGAGACAACTCATAAGGCAAATACCTTGCTTTGTTCTTTTTTTCACTTAACATTTCAGAGACCTTTCATATGAGTAGGTGTATATCTCCATCATTCTTTTCGATTTCTCTAGCACATTCCATCGTGTGGATATGCTGTAATTTACTTCCCCACTTCCCCACTGATGTATATTTGGGTTGTTTGCAGATTTTTGCAATCACACATAAGAAGTGGTTGGTGAACATCCTTTCTCACACATGAGTGAATATATCTGAAAGATAAATTCCCAGAATTAAAATTCCTGGGTTTTCTAAAAGTATGTGCATTTCAAATTTGTGTAGACGTTACCAAATTGCCCGGTAAGAGGATTGCTGAAGGAGAAAGGATTAGTGTGTTTCCTTTGAGGGTGCTTTTGCATACACGGAAGAGTACTCTGTTGCACTGGCTAGGAGTTCTGGATTATACCTTGTCAGTTTGAACTTTTGAGAAGAAAAGTTACGTGTTGTTCCCGGGACTTAGAACTGACGGCTGGTTGAGTGTGTGCCGTAGGTACATGCATCACCTGTATAGTGTTTTCATATGCACGAGGGGATGGCATAATGTTAATTAGTTTTAATTCTAAATATTTTAGGGTAGCAAATAAAATAATCTGTACCCTAAATTATCTAAGAATATAGAAAGGCAGATCAAAGTTGGCTTCCTGTGTAGAGGGGAGGCAAACAGAAAGTAGAGAGAATCTAGAAAGTGACTAACCCAGTAGCTTTAAGCACAACCAGTTACTCACATTAAAATCTCGAAATCCCATTCCCAGCGAAAGCAGCCGGGATGCTTCGGAGAAGTGGCGGGTTTAGGTCTAGGGCAGGATATGTGCACGGTGAACCTGGAACATCTCGTCCCAGAAAGCAAGGAAGCTGTTGAAGACTGCTGGGGTCACAGCGAGAGGGCTCCGGGGCCGGCCTGAACAGGCTCCCACCTGCTCACAGTGGGGAACTTGCGGCACAAGGACGATCGCTGAAGTGGACCAAAGCGCATCCAGCACGTTCAGATCCACGAGCGAAGAGTGATGCTGGAGGTTTACTCCAGAAGAGCCCTGGGCCGATGGGCTGGGCAGAGGAGGAGACAGATTGGCCTTGCTTTGACGACTGTTGAAGCTGAGTGATAGATATCTGCTGACTTATTATATCTTTCCCTCTACTTTTGTGTACCTTTGACGTTTTCCAGAACGCAAAGTAAAACAAAAGTCAAGTAGACAGAAACCCAGCAGTGGGTTTGTGAATACTACAGGGACGTCTTAGCTTCATGGCCATCGACACCCCAAGGTTTCTGGTGGCCTGTCGCCCTTGGCCAAGTGGCCATGTTCTTCTGAGGAAAGCAGGTGCAGTAGGGGAACTGAATACTCATTCATTCACAAGAACCCGAGCCTCTGCTAAGCCAGGTGCTGTGCCCGGTGGTATTGGCAATACAAAGTCATGAGCGAAACCGTGTCCGGAGCCAAAACCAGCATCTAGGGGGGTTTTAGTTTAGCCCTTCCTGATCTGATAATAGCAGTCTTGATAAGCAGGAACTCTGGGAAATGGTATTTTCCCCTCCCTTGGGTAGCATTAGCTCCAGGCCACCAGTTCCCAGTTTTCATCATGGCTTTGCAGTGGAAGCCCACCGTCAGGTGGGGGACAGGCCTGGCTGCCAGTAGACGTTTTCCTGGGGGCTGCTGAGTTCTCGCGGGGTTCTGCTCCCGTGCCTGGGGATAGCTGAGTCGATCGTGCATTGTTCGTTCTGGAGTCTCTACACCTATAAACTTCACTGGATTGTCCTCAATTTGCCCATCAGGAAGCCATTTAGACAGTTTCCAAGATCCTGTGAGCCGCTGGCTGGCTTCATGCTCCTCTGGGCTCGGAGGCAGAACAGCTGGCGTTTGCCACTGCAGGAGGCACAGAAGCACTGCCTTTCGGGCGCCGGCTCCCCCAGGCCTCGTGGTGCGTTCCCTTCCCTCCTCACTGGGAAGCCAGCCAGCCGGAGTGAGTGGCTGACTTTTCCCACACAAAACCAGCGACATCTGTCCTTGAAAGGGCAGTGTGCAGAAGTGCCCTCACCCGCAGTGTCAGTTACCTGCAGTCAGCGGCAGTCTGAAAACATTAAATGGGAAATTCCAGAAATAAACAACCTGTAAGTTTTAAATTGTGCACCGCTCTGAGCAGCGTGATGGAATCTCTTGCCGGTGGGCTCCGTCTCGCCCGGGGCCAGGAGCCATCCCTGTGTCCAGCGTCCCCACGCTGCGCACACTCGCGTCTGTCAGTCACTCAGTAGCCGTCTTAGCTATTAGATCTAGTAGATCCACTGTGTGGTGTCACAGCGCTCGTGTTCAAGTCACCCTTATTTTACTTCGTAACGTCCCCAAAGCGCAAGAGTAGTGATGCTGGCAATTCAGACATGCCAGAGAGGAGCTGTAAAGTACTTTCTCTAAGTGAAAAGGTACATATGAGAAAAAACGTAACATAGAGAGAGTTTGGTACTGTCCTGAACATATCTCCTGTGAAGGGGGCAGGGGAGTTATTATAAAAACATTCATTGGGAGGAAACAAAAAAAACCCCAACTATACAAACACCGGTATTATTTCTGTACATCCACCTTCTCTAAAATCGTTGTTCTGTTTGAACAGTTGAGATGTTGGTGTGGCCTTGGAAAGGGGGGCTGAGAGAAGGAGCATTTGTTCTGAAGGCATTCTCTCTATGGTGACACTCACGGGAGACTTCAGCTCTTTAGACTGGGAGGAGGACAGTAGTGACCAGAGCCCGGGGACTGATTCGCAGTCTGCACCGGCCTGTCCCAAGGGTCACTGTCCTCTAGTAATAAGTGGGTGCGGAAGACTAGATTCCTCGTAGGTGGCTGCTGACATTCTAGAAAGGAAAAGGTGCTTGTGGCTACAACTTCAGAACAGGCCAGTGATGTGGTCTCTTCTGCTGGAACTACATTGGGGAAAAATATACCAGAAATGAAATGAACCCCAGCTCACACAGGTGGCTTGCCAAGAGACAAAGAGAGCAGCACTCTGAAATCAAGATCCAGTCAAGGAGAAAAAAAACTAAGGAAACACTTTGTCCTCTCTGTTAGGAAAAGAAAACCACTACGAATAACAATGCGTGCTAAGGAGGTGTCTTCCCGTCCGCAGTGGTGCGCTCAGTCTGAGTAATGAGGGGGGACGTAGCCCACGCGTGCTCTTCGGCCCTCCCCGCGTGTCAGTGACCTCGGGAAGGCGGCTGTCTGCGCCCCAGCTGGCCCCCTCGGCCTCAGGTCCACACCCAGCACCCAGCAGGAGCTGAATAAAGACTTGTTGAGGTCTAGAGGTTTGCATTCTCTGCTACGTAGCCAACGGATTTGGTTCCTAGTTTAAGGAGTAGTATCATATCTTTAACACTAACGCTGCATGAGAAGTTGGCCATGGGAGGAGCCAGAAGAAAAACAGGCCCCCGGGGAGGCCCACAGAGAATGAGGGGGAGTCTCTTTCGAGCCCAGGAGAGCGGCTGTAGAAGGGCCCGCGGTGCACACACACAACCACCGGCGGGTCTCAGCCGCCCCACGCCGAGTGAAGGAGGCCTCGCCGAAAAGACTGCGTGCCCTGTGATGTATCTGTGACACCCCGGAAAAGACAGGCCAGAGGAACAGAGATACTGTTACCAGGGGCTGGGGGCGAGGGCTGGGTACAAAGGGGCACCGTGGAAGTTCAGGGCCAATGGGAGTATTCTGTATCTTGATAGTGGCGGTGGTCACCTGGCTGAACTTGCAGACTTACACACTTTATAAAAAGGGTGTATGTACACAATACCTAGATTTAAAAAAAAAAATTTTAAATCCTTTTAGAATCTTGGCGAGCCTGTTAAAGAAAGCAAACGAGGCGGTGAGAGCAGGGCTAGAGCGAGTTTGGTGATGCGGGTGACGGTGTCCATCTAAGACGACAGCGCCCAGGAACCACTTGAGACACTGCTGCTGCGGTTTCACAGCACGGGCAGCCCAGGGCGGCACACGGCTTCCTGTAGCCCCCGGTGCCCGCAGAAGTAACTTGGGGTGTTACTGATTTATTCTAGTTTCTTTAGGAAAAGGACAGATACAGAGCAGGAGACAGGCCAGCCGAGGCCGACTTCTGGCTGCCAGGCCACTAGTGAAGGTGTGCGCACGTATCCCCCCGGGACGCAGATCCTTGTCTGTGAGGGAGGAAAACCGTCGCGTTGCCCCAGGAATCCAATGAGCTGTAGTGACAGGCGAAGCGCTTAACACCACGTCTCATCCCTGGCAAGTGCTCAGCAGATGGTGGTAGCTGCTAATGGAATAACAGTCTCCTCATGTGCTAATATTATTATCAAGGGCTATTTGGGAGTAATCACTGTTTTCCTTTGCTTAGGGCAAGCAAGCTTGGCAGCCACTGAACACACTGGAAAGCTGACTGAGCTCCTGTCTGACCTGGCCTGGGAGTTCGCGGTCAAAGAAGGGTTCCGGGTTTTCAACAAGATGCCAGCCACAAAGCCGTCGGTGGGGTCCTACCACACGCGGGCTGGCCCACGGTCCCTGCTGGGCACGCCAGGAACCAGGAGTTATAGCTCCCTTCCGGAATCTTCCTCAGCCCACTCCTCAAAGGGAGCTCTGGTCATCTCTCCGGAGGCCCATTCCCCGCGGGTCGGGGAGCTCTGTCGGCGGCTGGAGCAGTTTGTGGGACCACACATGTACCCCGTGGGGCCAGGGCTGCGGAGTCGCCAGGCCTCGGCGGACAGACGGACCCCCTCCCCACTGGCCGGGTCGGGAGGAAGACCTTGTTGAAGTGGCAGGACTTCAGCTTGTCCACTGGGCACCTCTGTCCCCGCCCTCCCCTCCCACCCAGGCAGTGAAGGCACGGGAGAGCCGAGCTGGACCGTCTTCGGTTTCCTCCGCCACCATATTCCTTGTCTCTGGTTTCTGGCCCTGGCGCCAGTGGGGCTGTAATGCGTATTCGAATGATGTAAATCTGAAACACTGCGATACTGAATACCTCAGTTAGTAAAGTCTCCTTTGAAGAATCCGTAACGTCAGCGCCAAAGGGCCAAATCGGTTGTCAACTGTGTCTGTGCTCTCGCCACACAGTGCCACAGCCTTGGCTGAGAAACGGAAATGCCCACTGTTCTGCGTCAGGATTCCCTTTGCCGTGACTTCGTTTTCCATTGAGGTCTTCAGGAGCACATCTTTTGCCTATGATGCAGCCATCATCTATCTTTACAAAAATAGCATTATCACTTTTTTCTAGTTACAGACATACTGCAAAATTACCAAAGCTCAAACGTGACAAAGTATACAACACAGGAAGCTTTCTCTAAAACTCTGTCCCCTCTGAGATAATCACTGTCAACAATTTCGTGTATTAGGCTCCTGGCTTTTTTTCCTATTATAAACTAACATATTTTATTCTTTTTTTTAAAGATTTTGTTTATTTATTTTTAGAGAGGGAAATGGAGGGAGACAGAGAGGGAGAAAAATATCAATGTGTGGTTGCCTCTCACGTGGCCCCAACTGGGGACCTGGCCTGCAACCCAGGCATGTGCCCTGACTGGGAATCGAACTGGCAACCCCTTTAATTCGCAGCTCATGCTCAATCCACTGAGCTACACCAGCGAGGGCTTATTTTATTATTCTTATATTTTAATGGAATCAGCCTATACATTCGATCTCCTGCTTGCTTATTTGACTTAGCAATGTGGCACCTCCCCACACCAGCACCTGATTGACCTCCAAGGGCTTCTGCAGTGTGGGTGTGCCATAAATTGTCTGTCCTCCCCCGGCTGAGGGACACTGGGTGTCTCAGCCAACAGTCTGGGTGCAAGCCACAGAGGTCAGCTCTGGGTCAGTTAAGGAGGCAAGGCTCTTAGTGAGCTGCCAACGTGCATGGCGAGACCCAGCTTTAGGAGACAGTAGACGGTGACGCACGGGATCTCCGTATGCCCTGCTTAGCAAGGCAGCGGAGGCTGCGGCCAAGTGCACTGGGCCCGGTGCAATAAAGGACCCTTCAGTCGCCTTCTGTCTGCACGGAGCGTGCTCTCGGCACATTCGTTGTTAGGACATTAGTCATGGCAACAGTGATGATGGGAGGTGGGCACGTGGGGTGTCTGGGAAATGCAGACGCGGGAGTGAACTGACCGCTGCCGTCAGCGCTAGGACTCAGCGGCCCCAGGTCCCCTCGGGCTTCGGCCACCCCCAGACCCAGCCTGATGGTGCGGCCTCGCACCATTGTTTTTGGCACACGCGTCGTCTCTGGCCGCCTACCCTCCTCCCTCCAATCCCTTTCATCGTTTCCCACAGGCCAAAACAAAACTAAATCTCCGCTGTACTTCCCTGACTGGCTTCTCCTGTGCTAGGAGAAAGGCAAGGCCGAAGGACTTTGGAGCCTTTCCCTGCCCTTGGAGCCGGATCCCGGGGGAAGACGCGGAGCAGCACTGACCAACGCGGAGGAGTACGCGCATCCGTGCGAACTCCCGGGCATGTCTCTGTATGCGCCCGAGGCACCTTCTTCCCAGTTCCCCGTGGCACTCCGGTCCCCCTGCTGGACCGACAGGGCTTTCTCTAGCTTGCCCTGGACTCAAGGGCACTGACACAAACTTAAATTCCCCCTAGTGGGCGAGGACAGCTGCGGACAGGTGGCTGGAGCCGACGCAGGGAAGCGGCGAGGGACAGGAGTCTCCCGGGGAAGGTGGGAGCTGTGGGAGGCACGAGCCTGGCTGGCTTCTGAGTCTGCAGCCCACTGGTGCCAGTCTCCTTTCAGCAAAGGAGGTCCGTGCCTGGGCATCTTGGGCTCTGAAGTACTATATTCAGAATGTTTGTGTCTTCGCACATCTCAGGGGAGACGGAGAGCTTCCAGGAGGATGTCAGAAGGGCTGGGACTTGGAGGATGCCCTGGTACATGCTTCCTGAGTATTTGGAGTTTTAAATATGGACGTGGGAGTCACCATTATTCTTTTTTTTCTTTTCAGATATTTAACTGTTATGCTCCAGACACAGGGAACATGGAGCTTCTGGTGCGCTGTGGCACCGAGGGGCAGAAGGCCCGCTGGCTGGTCCCGCTGCTGGAGGGAAAGGCCTGCTCCTGCTTCGCTATGACAGAGCCCCAGGTGCCACCCCCGGGCTCCTTATCAGGCCAGACCCTCGCTGGGCCCGTGGCCTCTGCCACACGTGGAACGTAGGACCCCCGCAGTCCTTAAGCAGAGTATGTTCTCACCCAGGTTGCCTCATCAGACGCTGCCAACATGAGTCTTCCGTCAGAGAGGAGGATGGCTTCTGTGTCACAAATGGTCACAAGTGGTGGATCTCAGGTATCTGGCCTGGAATTCATTTTTCAGTCACACTTGTGTGGGTCTGTGTCAATAAGCATGTCTCTCTCTGCCCTGCTGTTGTCTGGGGAACAACAGCAAGGGGGCAGCTTCTTTTCCAGTTGATGCAAAAGAGGTCTGTCTCCGTGCTCCCTGCAAACCCCGGGAGAACAAGAGGTTCTGTGTGGGTCACCAGAGGACCACACCTGCGACAGTTCTAGGAATCTCTCGCTCACTCCCCCCCCTCCGCCCCCGCTCTCTTCATTCTGCCTTTGGAAGGCAGAAGGTCACATCATCAGTGGCTTCTTCTGTTGCGGGATCACGTGGCTGCACCAGAAGGGCTAGCGATCACCCTGCCATCCATTCGTTGCGAGTTCACTCTGCAGGGCCCTCCATAACTGCTGCGTGGACCTCCCTCTCTGAGTCCCCACTTCACAGAGGAGGCCACTAGGTCAGAGAAGTGACTTCAAGTGCCAACTTTCCTGTCCACCCCTCTAGGGAAGTAGGGAATCCAGAGGTGAGGATTTGCCTGCTTCTGAAGCCCGTGCCCAGAGCCACCATTACACCTTACGCCGTCTGTGGGAACAACAGAATGGGCTGCCAGCGACAGAGGAGCGGCTTTCCGCCTCCTGTCTTTGTATCTGCAACTGTACGTGGCGCCTTTTTCTTGAAATGCACTTACGATGTTGGATTCATTCCTCACTGGGACGAAAACCAGTTGTCCCCATCCCTGGTCCAGACCCTGCACGCAGTCAGCCGGCTGTGTGAGGTCTGAAAGAGCTCTGTGCACGTGCTGCCTTCAGCTCTCCTGGGCCGGCACTGCATCCGCGGGGAGCTCTGATGGCCTTGGCGTCAGGTGACAAGGGTCATCTGATGAAGCTCTGCGTGTTCATGGGAAAAACAGACCCGCGTGCCCCACCCCACCAGCAGCAGTCTGTGCTCTTGGCTCCCACGAACGCCCCGGGAATAAAAGTCATCCGGCCTCTGACAGTGTGCGGGCTGGAGCACGCGCCGGGTGAGCCCCCAGGCCCCTCCCGTCTGTGTGTGGGTCCGGGCCTGAGAGGCACGTCAGCGTGCAGTACAGGACCTCGAAGGGCATGACGACGTTCGGAGGGCTGTGTGTTCCTGCCTTTCATTTCCATATGTGAATATCAGCCACATAGGCAAATTTCAGACAGGCACTTATACTTTCTTTTCTCTTGTACACTTAGAAGATGAGACAAAATCCGAGATAAAGAGGCCACTCAAGACAAAGGCAGGAAGTGCAGTCCAAACCTTCTCCTCTAGATCCCGGCCGGCAGCTGACCCCCAGGCCTGCTGACCGCACTCACGTTTCCTTTTGGTGTTTCCAAGGGATCACTACATTGCTAGAGTCCACACTCTCGGGAAGTTTCCACTTACAGTACAGTCATCATGTTTTGGAAGAGGAATGGCAAACTATTCATTTGACATTGTAAACTGGTGACTTATTTTTCCATCTTTGGTAGGCTCCTTAATGCCCTACTCCCCACCGTGTCCCAGTGAGAAGGCTGAGTGAAGGGCAGGGAGATTGCCAGCAGGCGACTTGAATTGAGGCAAGGGATCGACACATCCAAAACGGGAAGGTGCGTCTCTCAGGAGGGGCCCTTCGGGTCTTGCAGGTGGCCACGGGGGAGTCCTGTTTGAGCAGGTGTGCATGTGCCCGAGGAGAGCAGCATGGTCCTGGGTCCTGGCCAAGGCTTCCAGATTGCCCAGGGCAGACCGGGGGTCCCTGGCAGGACCCATCACTGCACACGGCTGATCGGGCACTCGGAGAGCGCCCTGGCGCCCATGAAGGCCCACCTGAGTGCTTCCCCTCGCAACTGCAGTTGACCCAGAGCCGCCTGTCCGTTTGGCTACCGGACCTAAATCCTAACTGTTTTCTGAGAGCTGACTCAGTAGTTGAAGCAAGGTGATGTTTTTGCCAAGAAGCTGTGTCCCGGTCTTGGCTTTGCAGTTGCTACTTCATTGAATTTGAAATTGAGAGTAGAGTGGGTCTCACTCTGTTGAGGTGACCAGAAGGGAAAGGCTGAGCCCTGTAGCAGCAGGGGGCAAGGTTCCAAGGTCCAAAGAAAGGGTCACAGGCTCCCAAGGGCCATTCCTGCTACTAACTCATCTTTAAAAATCAAACACCAGGAAAAACTCCCGTGGTGGCATGTGTCCCTGGGGTTCCAGCATCTAGGCCTGTCCCGTCCTCTTCCCTGCACACGTGCAGGAAACTACTCTCCTGTGACCGCCCCTCCAAGACTGGAAGCCCAGGCAAAAGAGAGCTGTTGCTGGGAATGGTCATTCAAAGCAGGGGTATCGTTTCACACAGATGAAACCAACCTCTGAGACCAAACAACTGTCTCACAAGGAACTACACAAAGATAAAAAGCAGTCCAGTGCATTTGCATTACTGAGCAAACCTGTGATTTACAACCTTTTGAGTTGCAACGGACCAATTCTCTTTTTTCAGTTAAAACTAAAGGAGAAAACAAAACTTAAAAAAAAAAAACCCTAAAACGAAACAAAAAAAATTCCTTATAAACTTTTCTGATTGCTCATGATTTTCGGACTCATAGAATGACCTTCATAATTTACAGTTGCCCAGAGCGGGGCTCTGGCACCCAGACCTGTCAATAGAGGGCGCCCTCCCCCCACCTCTGTGAGGTGCCCATCGCCACCTAATTCCCAGAGTAGCCCTGGGCCAGATGCTGGCTCAGATCCCAAAGAGCTGTTCCTGCCTGGCTGCTCAGAGCAGCCGAATTGCTGGAGTAAAGGGATTCCCAGAAACAGTCTGTGCAGCCACCATGCTGACTGGCTGTGCGGTGCACATGAGTGTCGTCTGCGCCTGGATCTTCTCCCTGGAAATCGACTGCAGCTAGAGAGCTGGCAAACGGTCGGACGCACGGCTCACTCCTGCCTCTGCTCCCTGCCCTGTCCCATGCACTCCACCCACCCTGTCTGCAGGGCACCAGCCCCAGGCCTCGAGCTGGTCTCCTGTGTCCACAGGTGAAGAAGTCCCATGTGGCCTTCGGGAAGCCCCTGGTGGAGCAGGGCACGACCTTGGCGGACATCACGCAGTCTCAAGTAGAGATCGAGCAGGCCCTGCTGCTGGGGCTGAAAGCTGCCCACCTCATGGACGTGACAGGGAATAAGGTAGGAGGCCAGGGGCCCCACCGATGACAGGCCCTGAGGTCGGTGGCCTGAGGGACTCTCCTGGGAATCTGTAGACACTGGCCCCTCCTCCCCCCTCAGCGAACTCCTGAGAAAGAGCTTAGCTTCTTGACATTAACAACTTCGCTTCAACTCTGCTTAGAACTATTTGGGCAGCTGTTCAAAGATGGGAAAGGCACACTAAAATAGGACGGAACGTTCCCCTTACTGAGCCCGTGGGCTTTTAGGTCCAAGATGTGGGCCCGAGAGAGTCACATGGCCCCTGGCCTCACTCTGCCTCTGGCTAGACTGCAAGGCCTGTTGGTGCAGGCGCCAGGCAAAGGAAGCGTGAGCACGGGGGGAGGAATTCACCACAGAGCAGCTTTATTGCCCAGCGCGACATTATTCCTTAAATGGCCCTTTCAAGTGCCTTTAATGGCATGACGTCTGCATGGACCTGCACCCTCTCCAGCTCTGTACTAGACCCCCAGGGAGCCTTTACTTTAGCCCAGAGGCCCCAGTCTGGGGTGGGAGGAAGACTGGGGCTCAAATTCCCGGCTCCTTGGCGCTCTAGTACTGGGTGTGGTGGAGGCTCTCAGGGGCCTGGCCCCAATGCCCCAACCCGGGGCAGATTCTTGCAGCTTGGTCTCCGAGTCCTGGCTGGCCGAGGTCCAGGTCAGGCTGGAGACGGGCTGCCTGTGACCGTGATCGAAGCACAAGCCGCTCCCCACCCTGCCTTCCGTGTGTGCGGGCGATGCTCCCCCTCATGCGGGAAGATGCCTGCGTGCCCGAGTCTGTTCTGGACCAGGCGCCTGCTCACACCTCACCATTTCTGAGTCACCCTCACAGTCACCACTGCTGAGCCGTCCATCGCCCCAGGTGCTGGGCGTGGGCCGTGCACCGGGCAGGGGCTGCCTCGAGGTCCAGCCGGACCTCAGGCCTCTGTCCTGAGCCGTTGTTTCTGCTCCTCCCATGAAACTGATTGTTCTCCCGAGCATTCTGCCCTCGGGTCCGCCCGTCTAGTCTCGCCCCCTCCTCTTCCTCACAGGCTGCAGCTTTAGACATCGCCATGATTAAAATGGTGGCTCCGTCCACGGCGTGCCGAGTGATTGACCGTGCTAATCAGGTGTGGAGACCGGAGCGCGAGTTCTTGGAACCCTTTACACAACACGGGCAGAACTCCCTCGCCTTCAGCCGCCCGACTTCCTGTAAACTGACAGCCGCCCGTTGCTGCACACTCACCTTGCATGTCATTTCCCTTTTTTTCCTGGGCACAACCCTGTAAGAGGGCCACATGCATACTCTCACTTTGAATATGAGGAAACAGGGGCACAGAAAAGTGAAATGACTTGCCCAAGGCCACTCGGCTTATAAGTAGCTGATCTCAGATTTAGGGGAGCTTGGTCCTTGTTACACCAGAGCCCTGCCTCCTGACCATGCAGGGTGTCTCCTTCCCAAGTTGTAACACCTGGCCCCAGCGTGGAGGTTTCCCGGGGGGGCAGAAGTTACTTAGCAGAGTGGACCTGGGGAGCCTGGTGTCCACAGGATGGCAAGTGGGGCCCCAGCTGCAACCTCCCAGAACATGAGCTGTCACACAGACAGCTGTTCTGAGCCGTTCTGCACAGGCCCTCGTTCCTGGGGCCGGAGATGAGGGCTCACCCAGGGCTTCCTCCCTCCCCACCCTGTCCGCCAGGCCTTTGGAGCAGCGGGGCTGAGTCACGACTACCCGCTGGCTCAGTCCTTCGCCTGGGCCCGAGCGCTGCATTGCCGATGGCCCCGATGAGGTGCACCGGGCAGTGGTGGCCCAGGTGGAGTTGAAGCCTCACATGTAGACCAGCAGGCCTGCGCGAGCCAGAATGTCCCTACCAGACCGCGACGCCTGGTGTGAAACCAGACTGCGAAGGCCTGGTATGTCTGATTCCTGCACCTTGTCGGCAGCTGTGTCCTGGGACGGTCATTGTGAACACAGCCTTTCTGGGTCCCCACAGCCGGCATCTCTGTGACAAGCCTTGAGTTCGCTGTTTCAGCCAAGGACGAAGGGACGAAGGGACCGAGCCTGTGAAGCCGGTCTTCAGGCTCCAGGCCAGCGCAGGCAGCCCACGTGCCCTCCCTGGCGCTGGCACGCTGAGGCTGTGGGGATCTGGACCAACATCAGGAGCCCCGCTGGGTGGAGTGCCTGTGCTTGCTCCCCACAGGGGGCTTCCGGGTCCCCGCGGGCCCTTCCCCTCGAGGAGAGGGCGGCCCTGAGGGCTGCAGCTGAAGACCCAGGCCCAGTGCTGCTGGGAAATGAAAGTGAAATCACTAAGCTGCTGCCATCTGATTTTCTTCGTTTGAGTTTCCACATCACACAACACTAATTATGATACTATTTTGGAAGGGGGCTTTGGGAACACGAAAGGATTAGAAAATACATCTCAAGAGACTCCATGAATGTCTTTACATCATTCAACAGGAATTGGGAATAAAGGTCCCCGCTTCAGTCCCTCTGTCTCGGTGCGCCACTTGTCTCCTCACACGTCTTTACACAGATTCTGCCCAGTCACCGGCTCACACAGGTGGGGGCCCCGATGCTGTCACCTCTGGTGGGTAGGTCCTGAACAGGCCACCTCACCACTGTCCATGTAAACGTCACCCAAGGACTATGGCTTTCCAGCGCGCGAGGGCCCACATTCCTCCATCGGCCCCGTAGTCAGAACACGTCAGGGGAGGGGAGCTGCTGGACAGTACACTGTTACAGTGGAGAGGGCAATGGCCTCCTCTGGGAAGAGCATGGAAATGCTCTGCTCGAGGTCTGAGTTCTTCCAGAAACGGTGCCCCACGAGCCCAGGCAGCCTGCGGAGGTAAGCCGCCAGCGGTTAGGACCCTGCCTGCCAATCTCATAATTGGTGATCATGTGGCCAACAGCTGCCCATTTCAGGTCAGACCAGGTGGGCAGGGACGGCCCACTTGTCTGCTGCACTGCAGACGCGACTTCCTCAAGGAAGCTGCTTTACGCAAGAGAGGGCCCAGCGGCCTCAGCCAGGGCCACGTGCTTCAGGGCACCAGAGAGTCTTGGGGGGCTTGTGAAAGGGCTCCCCAGACGTTCTTGCCCCCATGGCCTGGGGAGGCAGTGCTTCCTCAACCACAGTGCTCGTTGCTCGGGAAAGCTCAGGGTAAATTCAACCCCCCTAACTGCTATCACAATGCTAGCCACACTGGCAAACAACCTTTTGTGAAATCTGTCAGGGTCCTAGCACCCTGAGCTCTGGCTTCAGGCTTCAGCAGGGAGGAGGGTGCTGTGAGAAGGAAGTGCTGTGGCCAGGGGCCTGACAGTGGCCTGACATCACGTGATCGTCAGAAACCCTCGTGGCCCCTGAGGTTAACCTTGCTGAACCAGTTAACAAGCTACTGCAGCTGCAAGGATGAAAGTAGAAGCCATGCTGTGGGGTGACCCCACATCTCCCTCCGCAGTGAGGGTGGGAGGCACTTAGGCGGTGGCGGCTGACTAAGAATGTCAAGTCACAGAGATGAAGCCTCAAGCAGCCCCTCATCCAGGGTCTCCAATTCTGTCCCATCATTGCACTCACCACTATCAAGTGCACCCCAGCTCTGGGCCTGACACCGTCCTTGGCCTTGGGGAATGTGCAGGAGACAGGCGCAGTTCTCAGGAAGCCCGCACATCTCAAGTAGGGGATGGTGGGTGGTGTGGTAGGCACTGGTGGGAGTTGGGGAGCCGGGGGCTCAGGAGGGTCCTCTTTCCAGAAGAGGCGTTCGAGCCAGACCTTCATGACGAGAACGGGCAAGGGTGCTGCAGAGGGAGCAGCAAATGCACAGGCCCCGGGGAGCAAGCCCGTGTATCTGGGGTGAGGAGCAGAAAGAGTAAGAGCTGCCCAGTCGTGTGGGGGGCTGTGGGGAGCTTGGTTAGGACTTTGGTGTTGACTCTAAATGTGACAAAATAGTGTTGACGGGTTAAAGAAATATTAAGAATCCTCCCTGTTTATGCCCAAGCCGTGACCTTTTATTGTAAGAAGGAAGTACGGGTGTGCTGTCTCCCGGGGAGAACTAGCCTTCTCCATGGAAGACTAAGCATCATTGTTAACTCGGTACCTGTGAACACTGATCATTTCCTTGGGGAAGAACTGGCTGTTCTCCCGGAGGGAACCGTTAGTCAACCGAGTCACAAAAGGCCCTGGGCGCATAGCCGCTTTGGTCTAAAACATACGTAAGCGGAGCCCCCGAAGTGAAACTCTGGAATCCCACCCGAGGGAAGGACGCTTCTCTCAGAACTGCCCCCAGACGAACCGCGAACACGGCTGCCCCCGGGATTCCCCGTGTCTGTGTGCGGGTGTCGGTGTTTCTCCCGTCTGGTGAGGTGTGTTCCCAATTCTTGCTTTCTCTTTGCTCTTGCTTAATACATCGCTTAACTATTCACTTTTCCCTTGGGGTTTTTACTGTGTGTGAGTCTGAACCTCCAAATGAAGTGGCCACGATCTCATACGTGCCTCTTAGCGGCACATGCCTACAGCCCTGGCCGGGTGGCTCAGTTGGTCGGAGTGTCGTCTCATACACCAAAAAGTTGTGGGTTCAGTCCCTGGTCAGGGTGTGTATGGGAGGCAACCAGTCGATGTTTTCCTCTCATTTCCATGTTTCTCTCTCTTTCCCTCTACCTTCCTGTTTCTAGAAATCAATAAACATATCCCTGGGGCAAGGATTAAAAAAATAGTTTAGGCAGTGATTTGACAGGACTTGGTTCGAGTTTTGAAAAGATCCTCTCTCTGCTCTTCAGAGTCCACCAGGACGAAGAAGGAATAAAGGAGGATGAGAGCCAGTTCCAAGTTCCCTAACGTTGCAGAGGGCTCCCAAGGAACCAATTTCCTGCAAAACTGGAAGGAAAAGAAAGGCAAAGAAAAGGCAGGGTGGGGTAGGGCCATGGGCCCTGTCCACCTGCAGCGAACGACTGGCATTTCTGGTAAGCAGTGCGGTGAGGCCTGAGCACTGCGCTCCTCTGGAGTGGAGATCGATGTGTGGTGGGGTGCACACTTGGGCACAAGCAAGCTCGGTGTGCTAATGATTGTGCCTGGCCAGTTTTATCTGTGGAACACTTCACATCTTGCCACCAGCCCTGCGGGGTTGGACCGACCTTATTAGCCTGTCTTGGGGAAGGGAACAAAATGTGCTCATAACGTACTAATATTTTTTTTTTCTCAAAGCAATATTCTATCCCAAAGCCATTGAACATTCTTCTGCTGCTTTCTTGGCAAGCACGGGAGGCTAGACTGCACCCTCCTCGGGGGTCCAGGGACAGGCACAGGACCACAGCTTCCATCAGAAGAGCCAGCTCGGGCGGGGCCGTTCATCCTTTCCTGCTCTTCCTCCTCCTCGCTCCCCTAAACCAGAGTATGGTCTCGGCATCCTTGCCTGCTCCCTCAAGTCCTGATTTCAGGTACTGTCAGGTAATTCCAGTATAATTGTGTAGAGGCAGAAAGAGATAACTCCAAGCATCTCCTGGGTAGGGCCCCTTCAAGACAGCAGCCAGCAGTGAACCTGAAAGGACAGGCTCCAGTGTTCTCAGCCACAGAGCCCCATCTTAGTCCTCTGTGGTTGCCTGGAGACAGCACCTGTCTGTCACCACCCAGGCCTTCAGAGCTTCCTGGGGAGGCTTTGGGGATGCCCGGGCCTGTCTGTAGTCACAGCAAATGCAGCACAGGCCCAAGGCTGGAGCATTGCTCTGAGACATCTAGGTCTGTATTTCTATCGCCCTCTGTGGTGCCACGTGGCTACAGACTTGCCCCCGTCTCTCTCATGCCCCGTGGACCTCAGCAATGGTGGGCATCAGACAGAGGGAGAAGACTCAGGTTCCAGCAACCCGGGTCCAGACCTGAGCTCGTCTGCTGGACAAGGACTCTGGGAGCAGAGTCTCTTTTCATCCAGAAGGCTGGCTCGAGGAACGACCTCAGGGAATTCTGTCCAGGCAGCATGAGACAGACAACAGATAGGAAACAGAGTGTGAAAGAGCGGTCAGAGATAAATAGGACACTGATTAAAGTGGTCAGGACAGATGCTAATCAGGGAGACGCTACTGCAATAGGGGAGGGGGCGGGGCTGAACGGACCTCAGCTTCCATCTGTAGGGAGTGCATTAGACAGGGAGAAGGAGAGAACAGGAGGGAGGGCCCTGGGGGCCCTGAGTGGGGAATTTCCTGCTACATTTACAAAAAGCCGGACTCTGGGGCTGGTCCACACAAAACCCACCTGGGTTTGCTAACTGTCCGTCAGCCTATCCAGGTTAGGCGCCTAGCCTCCTACAGAGACTGGGAGACAAGGTAACAGTAACTTCTTTGGGCAGCCTCAGTTTTCTCAGGCGCACTTTCCCAGGGCTAGGATCATTCTAAGGGCATGGCCTTGAGCTGCTAGAAACTGTGTTAGAGTTTGTACAAGTCTTTTGATAGGGCGTGGATGGACTAAATAATTCCTGCTGCGAGTCTGAGGTTTCTTTTTTTTTTTTTTAAAGATTTTATTTATTTATTTCTAGAGAGGGAAGGGAGGGAGAAAGAGAGAGAGAGAGAAACATCAATGTGCAGGTTGCGGGGGGCCGTGGCCTGCAAGCCAGGCATGTGCCCTGACTGGGAATCGAACCTGCGACACTTTGGTTCGCAGCCCACGCTCAATCCACTGAGCTATGCCAGCCAGAGCTGAGTCTGAGGTTTCTATAGGCCAAGGGTAAAGCCTAGTCAAGAGGAAAGCTTACAGAAGCCTAGTTAGTTTGGCTCTGGGTTTGAATCCTGACTCCATGACAGACTATCTGGGAGACAATGGGACGTGATTATTCATCTCCTAGAGTTGGTTTTCTTTTCTTTTCTTTTTTTTAGATTTTATTTGTTTATTTTTAGAGAGGGGGGAAAGGAGGAGAAGGAGAGGGAGAAAAACATTAATGTGTGGTTGCCTCCCATGTACCTGCTACTGGGGACCTGGCGCGCAACCCAGGCATGTGCCCTGATTGGGAATTGAACCTGTGACCCTTTGTCTTTCAGGCTGGTGCTTGGTCCACTGAGCCAAAGCAGCCAGGGCTAGAGTTGCTTCTCATTTAACACGTACTTCCCTTCCAGGATTGTTGGAGGATTAAATGAGATGACTCAGGGTTTATAAGAAGTTCCTAAGATATGCCAGTTTTTCATATGTGTCTGGGTGAGAATTATAAAAATATCCTTGGGAGAGGATTAAAAAAACAAGGAATGTTTGTTACACCTCACACTTATGAGAATGACAGTCATCAAAAAGACAAGCAACAACAAATGTCTGTGGGACATGGAGAAAAGAGAACGCTTGTGCACTGTAGGTGGGAATGTAAATTGGTGCAGCAGTCACTAGGAAAAAACAATATGGAAGTTAAAAAAAAAAAAAAAAAAAGCCCTGGCTGGTGTAGCTCAGTGGATTGAGCGTGGGCCTATGCACCAAAGGATGGCAGGTTCAATTCCCAGTCAGGGCA